GAGAAAAGGTGGCGGAACTCAAACCTGGCCACGCCCTCATCAAACCCTAGGACCGCCCCTTTAGAGAACAGGAATGCAAGTAAAATTTGGGAGGGGCTATTTCCGGTGTGGGAGGGGCTATTTCCGGTGCGGCCGGCCCGGAAAAAGGTGCCGGAACGCGGTTCCGCCGCGTTCCGGCTGAAAAAAAGCCCTGATTTTACTCATTTTAGAGCTTTAAACGACACTTTCTAACTCTGATTCAGTCCCTGGGGGTCCATCTCTGTTATTCTCAGGATCATTTAAGAAATGAGAAGACAATCTACACCAAGCATCTCCAAACTGGTCCACTTTCAGACTTGTGGACTTCAACTCCCAGAATTCCTCAGCCAGCCAGGCTGGCTGAGGAATTCTGGGAGTTGAAATCCACAAGTCTGAAAATGGACCAGTTTGGAGACCCAAGATCTACACCTTGTTGTGGCTTCCAGGGACCTTTCTGTTTGCGCTATTAAAAACTCACAGCACAGTTGTTCCAAACCAGCAGTGTGACTTCCTATCATTCTGAAGCAGAATGTATATAAACTGTAACTTAAGTCTTTAAGTAGTCTAGAAAATTTTAAAGATGACCTAAAAAAACAAACGTCCGAAAACCCCCCCAGAAAAAATATTTTCAAAATTATATGCAAGGTAGAGTCCTACACATTTTATCCCATTACTTAACCTACAAGTCACCTGTTCTCTGAAGCAGTTAAATGCAGCCTCTAGCCCAGGGGTAGGCAACCTTGGCTCTTTTATGACTCATGGACTTCAACTCCCAGAATTCCTGAGCCAGCATGGCTCAGCTTGGAAACCTCTCCCTTTCCCCTCAGCATGGCTGGCTCAGGAATTCTGGGAGTTGAAGTCCACGAGTCATAAAAGAGCCAAGGTTGCCTACCCCTGATCTAGCCACTCCAAAACTAGCCACCCTTTGTTTAACAGATGCAAGCCTAATTAACCCACACATTATAAAACGTATTTGCTAAATTAATCTGAGATTGGCTTAGTCCGGCACTATGGATAAAAAAGGCAGCAACAAGCAGAAGTGTAATTATCACCTTCCCAAATCCTACCTTCATGGAATCTTAATAATTCCAAACCAACAAACTTACCTTTTCATGTTTGCTTCTCTAAAACTCTCCATAGCATTTAAAAAGTTCTCAAGAAGTTTCCACATGGATATGAATTAGACTGCATATAAAACGTAGGTAGGGTAGTCACACGTTTGAAATGATGTGTGGGTTAGCACAATGTTGTTACTCATTCCAGCAGATGTCTATCAATAGTCTAGATCAGTGCTTCTCAATCTCAGCAACTTGAAGATGTGTAGACTTCAATTCCCAGAATTCCCCAGCCAGCATGCTGACTAGAGGATTCTGGGAGTTGAAGTTGTCAAGTTTGAGAACTCTGGTCTACAAGATCAAAATCTATTTATTGTTCATTGCTTTTATAAGGAAAACAAACCAAGACTGCAGATTTTAAAGTAATATATAAGTAAAATATTCTTTTGTCTAAGCCCCAGAAAACTTACCATGCCTTTGCTTAGTAGAAACAGTGCTCTGAAAAAAAAGGAAAGTTATTAAGATTCTAACACTGTAGAGATCTCCCAGAAATACAATGTATTCTCATTTTGCCTCGAATTCCCATATCTAAAACTGCATCAAAAATATTTGGGGGGGGGGAATGAAACTGTAACTTTTCATGTTTACTTTGCTGTTACTATATAAATGACTAAGTTACTAATTATATGAAACTAAAAAGTTGAGGCTGTAATTTGACTTTGCAATTACTGCACCAAAAAAAGGTGGAAGTCACTGCTTTTTTTTCCTTTTCCCTTCCCTTCACATCTTTTCCCCCTTCTTTTTCCTTTCGCATTTTTCCTATTGCCTTTAACTTTCCTTGGAATTTTACATTAAGATAAACTTTAATAAAATCTTTTAAAAACATTTCAGTCTGCAAAAGACTACAGAAACATGCTTCGTTACTCTGTTCACTTTTTCCCTTTCCCTGCTTCCCTTTTCAAAAATCCACCCACCTTGTATATTCTGATCCTACCACGCGGGCGTATTCTGCTCCAACTCCCAAAAGGTCGCAGGCGGATACCAAATCTTTCTCAAGCGTGTGAAGTTGCTAGTGGGGAATACACAGAGGGACACACGTGAGCTTGAAATGGCTCTGAAATGGTCCAGAGTCCAGACAGCCAAAAATTTGCGATTTTGAGTGTGGTCTATTGGTGGTGAAGGCTCAGCCAATTTCACCGTATACATGTTATACTTTGATAATAAAGGGTTTTTTATTATTATTATTATTACCAAGCTAGAAACCGGGAGACCGTGAGTTCAAATCCTGCCTTAGTCATGAAAGGCGGCTGGATAACCTTGGGCTAGTCACTTTCTTTCAATCTAGCTCACCTCACAGGTGAGGAGGATGAAGGTGTGCTGCATATGTTGAATGCCTTTATTTTTAAAAATAATAAAGTAGGATTCAAATAAATAAATTTTCAACAAGACTTTCCAATCTCAAAATGTTTCAAGGTTTCGCAAACCTCTAAGGCAGGGGTGTCAAATTGCCGGCCCACAGGCCGGATGCGTCATGCCGAAACCGCACCCACCCCATTGCCGGCAATGGAAAAAAAGTCGCGATACGTCGTGGCACATCACGTGATGTTGCGAGTTTGACACACCCCTGCTCTGTGGATGTTGATGCCACAAACCCCTTTTGTTTTCCATTAAGCACTGGTACCCCAAAGGAAAAAGTCACTAGTTTAACTGACCTCTTCAAGAACGCCCCACGTACCTTTCTCTCACAGACCAAAGTCTGTAAGGTGGGTGGATCTTAAGACAGGCAGGATGGTGGACACAGCACTGTAATAAAACTTCCCTCCCCTTTTGTCTGTGTGCTGGCACTATATACCTGGACAAAGGGGTAGGGGTTGGGTTGCAATGCTGCAGCCGCAGCATTGTTTATTTTGACCCACTATGAGGAAATTGCTTCAATACTTAGAACTGAGCTTATAAACCACCTGTCAACGGTGCTAACATTGGATGTTCTTGCTTTGACAACATATGGAGATGCAGCCTTTTTCTTTCTTATGCTTTACTCTTAGAATTAGATGATACTGGGAGAGGAGGAAGAATGTGATGGGAGTTAGTTAGACATAACAATATTGTAATAGTGTGTGAACTCAGGACTTTTGAAATAAGAGATGATAAGAAATGGCCAGGGTTGGAGTAAAGGAGGGAAAGCCTGCATTTCAAACTAATTGGAGAATGTGATTTATGACTGTTAATTAGAGGAGAGAATTGTGCTTTGATACTATGTGCTCAGGAGAGGAGAATCCAGATTTTGGCTTTCACCGAAGCCACTTGAATAAAGATTCTTTAAGGTAAACAATGCCTCATCTGTCGGAACCATGACACCACCACTCACTTGCTCACTTATGAAACTTTGCACCAAAGGACAAGGTATCCCAGTTACAGAACATTTTCCTAAGATCAGTTTAGAACAGCGGTTCTCAACCTATGGGTCGCGACCCTATTTGGGGTCGATCGACCATTTCACGGGGGTCGCCAAGCAAGGCTGTCTGCCATTTTTTTTCCCCTTTTCCGGCGTGTGCCTTACCTCCCTTGAGCTGGGCCAGCTGGTAGTCGGCCTGCTCCGTCTCTGCCGCTTGCCAGCTACGCCTCGGCCAGTGCAGGGGGCGGAACCACGCATGCGCGGTGCTCCCGGGCAGGGAAAATACTCGACTTACGACCGGTTGGGTAGTCCTCGACTTACGACCGGTTTAATCCTCGACTTACAACCGGTTTAGTCCTCGACTTACGACCGGTTTAGTTCTCGACTTACGACCGGTTGGGGGTCGCGGCATTAAAAAGGTTGAGAACCACTGGTTTAGAAGGTCTCCATGCGGTAATTCTTTCGGGAATTAAAAGACGACTTGGCTTCTTTCTAGGCATTTGTGGAATAACTACTTCAGAAGCAAGCTCTCTTTTAAATTCTCTTCTACTGCTTTTCTTCCATTCTATTCATAGCTCTGCCACTGAATCTTGTTTCACTTTTTGTATTTACTATTTATAAACAGTGCTGGATTTTTTGCACCTTTCTTGAAGGCTTTCTTTATTACTGTCTCATGAACAGCTTTGGGCATCCCCCGTAAGGCTACAGAATTTTTTTTAAAAAAGTAGTAACACTAATTTACAGAGCCGAGTGCAGTCTTGCTTGCTTTATCTTCTGCTGGTCAACGGTCAGACTCTCCGTCTCAGTGGCAACTTCAACCTTGCAGCTTTTAACACCGCAGAATCTCTCTTACGTGTTTCCCTCTCATATCTATAAATACTGCAGAATCCCCCCAAACTCTATGCTGTTTTTCATACAGGTAGTCCTCGCTTAACAACCATGGGCTCAGCGACCATTCGAAGTCACAATAGTACTGAACAAATGGTAGTTACATCCAGTCCTCAAAGTTACAGCTGCGGCAGCGTCCACATGGTCCTATCATCAAAGTTTGGATGCCTGGCAATCTGTCCACATTTACAACCACAGTATGCACCAGCAGTTGCCTTGGCAGGGTGCATCTCATCACCCATGGGAAGAGGAAGGCCATAAGGTCGGCTGAGGGCAGTGGAGGACAACAGGAGCAGAAGGCAGTGGAGAGCAGGGTGGCCAAAAGAGCAACAATGAGGAGGGATAAGTGGGTGAGGGGAGTTGAAGCAGAGGCCACCACAGCAGGGCCGAAGTGTGAGGTCCTCACCTAAAACCTGCAACCGGGACTACCATTAACGCCTGTCACTAAGTAGTGGAGTCACACAATCTTTAACCTAATAACCACTTCACTTAGTGATGGAAATTCCAGTCCCAACTAAGTTTGTTAAGCGAGGACTAGCTATAATTTAAACCATTTGAGAAGAGTGAAATTGAGCTTACCGCAAGCTGAAAAAGAAGGCGACAGTGCCAGTAAGGAGTCTGTTGTGAAATCTGGATGGCTTTACGCAGCAGGGGCTTTGCTGTGTCAACAGAATTCTGAAAAGTATGGACAATAAAAATCAGATTATCATACAGAGATGGAAGAGGAGGAGGAGGAGGACTCAAACACAAAGTCAATCAGAAAAAGTCATGTCTTGTAAAGCAAATGGAACACCGTTCTATTAATGGGAGGGTGCGCAATTTTGCAGAAATGACACACTTTTCTCCAAAACATATTTTAGCGAATACATTTCTGTAAAACCTGTCAATGCTGCTAACATCGGATGTTCTTGCTTTGACAACATATGGAGATGCATCCATTTTCCTTTACTTTAAGTTTTACTTTTAGAGTTAGAATTAGAGGATGGGGGGGGGAGGAAGAGGAATGTGCATGGGAGATTAGTTAGACAAAACAATACTGTATAATGGTGAGAACCAAAGCCGTTTGTAATAAGAGATGATAAGACATGGCGGGATGAAGAACTGGGCGGAAAGCCAGCATTTCAAACTAATTGGAGAATGTGATTTATGACTGTTAGTTAGAGGAGGGAACTGTGCTTTGATACTATGTGTTCAGGGGAGGAGAAGCCAGATTTTGGCTTGGACTATGTATGTGCCTATGTGTTGCTACTCGAATAAAGATTCTTTAAGGTAAACAATGCCTCCAAGTTCTTTGAAGAGTTTCATATGTCGGAACCATAACAAAACCTGTGTGAAGAGGTTTAAAGATCGGGAGCAAAGCACTTATTAGTCAGCAAAGGGATTCAGTCCATGGTATCTGCAGTTAAATGCATTCCAGACAGATGCACTGGGTGGATTGTTTTGCCTTTCTAGAGAAGGACCGTCAGTACAGATGGATGACTGGAAACTCTATGAGAGTTGTTGTGCATTCACACAAACTTACATCTGCTTCTGAACTCCTAACACCTAGAAGCTCCCCAAAAGGGGCACCAAGATGTTAATTCTACTTGTTAGAAGTTAGGAGCCGTGGTGGCGCAGTGGTTAGAATGCAGTATTGCAGGCTAACTCTGCCCACACTCAGGAGTTTGATCCTGACCGGCTCAAGGTTGACACTCAGCCTTCCATCTTTCCAAGGTCGGTAAAATGAGGAGTTAGATTGTTGGGGGCAATAGGCCGACGTTGTAAACCACCCAGAGAGTGCTGTAAAGACACTATAGCAGGGGTAGGCAACCTTGGCTCTTTTATGACTCGTGGACTTCAACTCCCAGAATTCCTGAGCCAGCATGGCTCAGCTTGGAAACCGCTCCCTGTCCCCTCAGCATGGCTGGCTCAGGAATTCTGGGAGTTGAAGTCCACAAGTCATAAAAGAGCCAAGGTTGTCTACCCCTGCACTATAGGGTGATATATAAATTGCTATTGGTTGCATCAACTTGAAATATCAAAATAAAAAACATAATCAAAGCTCAGTTCCTTTTAGCGGAAGTGCTACTGACATGCAAATAAGCCAGGTAACAAAGATTGATAAAACGTCTTAGCTCTTATTTTGTATGAATGAAAGTTTCATATATTCTTTGTGTATCAAACCCATTAAATATTGGCATTTAAAGAAATGCACAGAAAAGATGCCCTTCTTACCTCTTGACAGTACAACTCAGACAGGAGGCTGGCAGCTTCAAATTTGACATCCTCAAACTGCGGAATCTGGTAGTGTCCATGTTAAGCTAATAACACTTTCTGTTAAAAGTTAAAACAATAGACATTTTTAATTGGAAAAGATCCAGTGCTGTGTTTAATGCAGGACGTGCCAGGTACCGAAACTACACTCTCTATAACTGCTCAGTGCTCTTGTCTGTAATGCCACCCCCCCCTTTCCAGCCTGCTTGAATAATTTCAGCAAATTTAGGCCCTAAAATGTTTAAATCCCTGGGCCGTGGCCTCTACCAGGGCTTGAGGCCTTCGGAACCAAGCCGCAGAAGAGGTGGGTGAGTGCGTGCATCCCCACTTGCATGAGCAGCAGGCAAGCAGGTCAAGTTGGTGTTAACTTTCAAAACAAGTTTAACTGATAATTGATCATTCCAGTTTTCATGAGACCAGGAAAAAGGATACTTGTTGTGATATCAGCCACTGTAAAAAGAAGAGAGAGAGAAATTAGCAATTCCTGAAATCCCGTTCCCATGGAATTTATAGCAATCTCTAAAGGCAGTGATGGCGAACCTTTTAGAGGCTGAGTGCCCAAACTGCAACCCAAAACCCGCTTATGCATCGTCGAGTGTCGGGTGGGTGTGGCCCATTGGGTGGGCGTGGCCCATTGGGTGGGCGTGGCTGCAGTGGTAACAGCAGACTGGGTGGGACTAAAAAGTTCAATCAATCAATTCCAACTTTGCAAGATCTTTTTTTTCCCTGGGAGAAGTTGAAATTGACTGATTGAACCTTTTTTTTTTTTTTTTTTGCACATGGTGGCGGAGGCCTAAAGCGAAAAGGTTTTATAAAACCGAGCTGAAGGCCTAGGACTGGGGCGACGGCGTGTGCCCACAGAGAGGGCTCTGAGTGCCGCCTCTGGCACCCGTGCCATAGGTTCGCCACCACTGCTCTAAAGGGAACGGTTAATAATGTTATTTCTGAAATACAAGAAATGAACAAATAATTTTTATTATGACTTATGGCCAGTCAAGACACAGTGAAGTGTCAGTGCTGCACTGTCCTTTCCTTTCCTGCCAAACTGAACTCTTCCCGCAGTCTCAAAACCTAGAAAAGACCAATTCTTGTTCATCCGAACTTTACCCTCACCATCCTCTTGAAATACTTATTCTTTTGTTCCTTGAAATAGTCATTTTTCATTTTTCCTATGTCTCCTGAAGTTCACTCTTAAAATGTTGTATCTGTTTAAGGGGCTATATAAGCCTCAATATATTCAAATTCTGGAAACTCCCATGTTGGGTGGACAGGCTTGATTCAGAAAAATCATTGCTAATCTGTGTAAACTATGAATGGGAAATTAGCTGGACCAGATGTCTGCAGGCCAACGCACACACATATTTACCTGGATTTTCTCCTTATTTTTTTTCCTCTTCCAGCTGATTGCTGGAAAACAACTGAGAGAGTGGAAGGCAGGAATGCTGCTACAAACTGCTCTGGGAGGAGAGGCTATCAGCTTTCTCTAATGTTTCTGAGACTGTGAACACGGATTCTGCCCACTGCTGCCATTTGCCACCTTATCCAGGAGGAAATGTAGCCCTGAGGCTGAAATGGGATCCCTTCCCATTGTTACCTTACAATGCAAGATGGATGTCTGATTTCAGTACAGGCAGTCCTCGACTTTTGACCACAACTGAGCCCAACATTTCTGTTGTTAAGTGAGACATTTGTTAAGTGAGTTTTGCCCCATTTTACGACCTTTCTAAGTGAATCACTACAGTTGATAAGTTGGTAACACAGTTGTTAAGCGAATCTGGTTCCCCCATTGATGTTGCGTAGCAAAAGATGATCACATGATCTTGGGACACAGCAGCAGTCATAAATATGAATCAGTTGCCAAGCATTTGAATTCTGATAACATGATCATGGGGATGCTAGAAAAGTCATGTGAAAAAATGGTCATAAGTCACTTTTTTCCAGTTCCATTGTAACTTTGAAGGGTCACTAAATGAACTGTTGTAAGTTGAGGACTACCTGTACAAACAAAGTTCCTGTGTTCCTACTTATTTTCCCTCTTTTATTCCTAGAAAAATTATTTTCTTTTCTTTTCAACTCCATTCTTGTCTTATTTCAAATGTCTGAATTTAAGACCTGTGCATTCTCTTCCACCAGACTTTTTGGAGAAGCTCCTGCCTCCTTTGGTAATACCTAGAAATTTTTTTTTTTAGCTATAACCTCTTTTTTGTTTATTGTACAACTGCCTTAAAAATCTATCCAGTTATGCATGTAGACAAAAAAAATGAAAAACATTTTGTACCTCAAACTCATCCGTTTATAACAATGTAGCAATATGTGGCACAATAGAGAAACTGTACAATCTTCCTTAGGGTTTTCTTTTTATGCAGCAATCAACACTAAGCCAGATTCATTTTGAACTGTCTTGCCCAACCTGATATCTTCCAGATGTGTTGCTCTACAATCAACATCACTCCCAGTTAAAATATGTCACGTTTGTTACTCGAATTCTCAAAGCCTCTTAATAATAATCTCAAATGCAGCACGAGCAAAAGTTTAGTAGCAGTCCACAACAGTAACATATTTCTCATTCAATGGAAAAGCAGGAGAAAGGAGTGCTAAATATAAAACCTTGCACTCCTGATCAAAGGGGAAGATAAAAATCTAATGAGAAAAGAAATATTTTTAAAGTCAGGGACAGGAATAAAAAGAAAAACAGAATCAAAACATGAACGGAACTAGCATCTTCACCTGCAGGGTGGAAGACCCAGGGGAAGAGGATAGGAAATGCTACAATGGGCAGTCAATGAGCTTCAGGAGAAACTATTGCACACTCTGAGGCCACGACTGAGAAAGTCCAGCACATCTGGACAGCAGCAGTTTCAGCTCTGAGATGGCCTGCACGGAATAAGAGAGTTGGAAGGGACCTTGGAGGTCTTCTAGTCCAACCCCTGCGGATGCAGGAGACTCTATACCATTTCAGACAAATGACTGTCCAGTCTCTTCTTAAAAGCCTCCAGTGATGGAGCACCCACAACTTCTGGAGGCAAGTTGTCCCACTTGTTAAGTGTTCTCACCATCAGGAAATTGTACAAGTCTGGCTATACAAATGCAGGTAGTCCTTAGTCATTAGTGACCGTTCAAAGTTACAGCAGCATTGAAAAAAAGCGACTTATGACCAGTGCAGCATTCCCATGGTCACGTGATCAAACTTCAGATGCTTGGCAACTGAATGACAGCTTATGACAGCTGCAGTGTCCTGGGGTCATGTGATCAACTTTTGCGACCTTCTGACAAGCCAAGTCCATGGGGAAGCCGGATTCACTTAGCAACCCTGATACTAAATTAACAACCGAAGGGGTTCACTTAACAAATGTAGCAAGAAAGGTGGTAAAATGGGACAGAGTTCACTTAACAAACGTCTCACTTAGCCGCAGAAGTTTGGGGCTCACTTGTGGTCGTAAGTCGAGGACTACCTGTGCTTCCCTGTCTGGGACCACATGCACACACGTGTAGACAAGCGTGGCAGCCCGCCCGCCCTCCCTCCCTCCGGCCGTATGAAGGGGGCGCCGGTCACCCCGCTCCCCTTCCCAGTCCCCGGGACGCACCGCTTTCTCCAGGTGCCCGCGGGCCTGCTCTCCGTTGCGCGTGTGGTGGTAGAGGACGGAGCCGAGCTGGAGGTGGGTGCGGGCTTCGACCCGAGCGGGGGGCTTGCGGGGCAGCACGGCCTGGAGGCAGTGGACGCAGAGCCGCACCTTGGGCGGGCTAGAGGTGCGGAAGTGCTCGGCCAAGCCCAGCAGCGCCACGTACCACGACTCGGACGCCCCCGACGACACCGGAGCGCCGCCGGCCCCGGACGCGGAGGACGCCGACGACGAGGAACCAGCGGAGCCGCCGCCGCCGCCGCCGCCGCCCCCTCCTGCCGTGGCCTCAGCCCCGCCGGGCACCACCGCCTGTTGCGCCGCCCCCGAGCCGGGCCCGGCGCTCCCTCCCACCGCGGGCTGGGGTCCTGCTACGGACGAAGCGGCTGAAGCTGCTGCCGCTGCTGCTCCCCCGGCTGCGGAGGACGACGCCGGAGCGGAGGAAGACGCCGGAGCCGTCGTGGTGGTCGCGGCGGAGGAGGAGGATGAAGCCTGCGCTCCGCCCCCGTTGCCCGCCGTCGCCGTCGAGCCGCCCGACGCCCCGACGGCGGCCATCTTGGCTTGGCCTCCGTAAGGACCGGGAGGCAACGGGAGAGCGCTGCGAGGCGGAATTGAGAGACTCACTGCGCAGGCGCGGCCTTCGCAATGCTTGATGGGAAAGCGAGTCCTGGAAACGGTGGTAGCTTATGTCACACACACACACCCCCATCCCGCTTGGAGAGACTTGAGTTGGGAGACAAAGAATCCTACGCTCCGGGGAAATCTTTATCCCACTTCTCCTTCCCAGGTCAGGAAACAGATCCTCCCCTTTCTAGATCTCTGTTTTTCCGTTGAAAAAATAATGTGTATGAAACCAAAGTACACCTTGCACCCCCATAGGATTGCCTGTCCATTTCCATCCACTTCACCGGTCCTTAATTTCCAAAAGCGTGTTGCAGATTTAAGGCTGTTAATAAAAAAAAGTGCATACTTTAGTTTTACAGCAAATAATGAAGAGAGCGTTCGCTCATTCGCTTTATAATGCTTATAATGTTTAAAGTCTTGGATCTTTGATTCTTATGGTTATGAAGAGTGATGTTTTTGATCAGAGGAAGTCATTTCGAAAAGGGCCACCTGAGAGGGGGGCGCACATTTTAAAATAAAAATGTGGCACTCTTTAATAATAGTGGCCTTTAATCCCCTTTGCATCATGAGAAATATAGTTCGTCAAGCTCAGAGCAGCTGAAGGGAAGTTTTGCGGCCGGTTATCAAGTCTCGTGAGAACTACTCGATTTTTTTCCCTCTTGCCGGTGCCACACAGCGGCTGACGGGTATGTGACAGAATAGAGCTGGAAGGGACCTGGGAGGTCTTCTAGTCCAGCCCCCAGCTCAAGCAGGAGACCCTAGCCAATACCAATTCAGACAAGTGGCTGTTCAGTATCTTCTTAAAAGCCTCCAGTGATGGAGCGCCCACAACTTCTGAAGGCAAGCCACTGATTAATTGTCCTCACTTTTACCGGTAGGAAGTTTCTCAATTCCAGGTTGCTTCTCTCCTTGATTAGTTTCCATCCATTCTTTCTTTCTTGCCTTGCCCTCTGGTGCAGGATAAGATACCTGGACAAGACAAAACTCGAAATTTGGATTGTAACAGTAGCATTATAGTCTCCCAGAGACTCTCAAACTACCCCGGGAAATCGTTTTCCAGCCGCTGCGGGTCTACGAACTACAATACCCGGCATGCTTTTTCTTTGCGTGGCTGTCGCGCGTGTGCTCCTCCTCTCCCACAATGCAGCGCGCCGCCCTGCCTCCCGGCCCATCCGGGTGAGCACCCGCCCGCAGTGCATTGTGGGAGAAGCGATAGGGGCCCGCCTGCAGCCATGGAGAGCAGCAAGGATGCGCCAGGTGAGTCTCCCCCCCCCCAGGTGGAGCGCCGCCTTCCCCCCCCGGGAAGTGTTTCCGCCCCCCCCCATCCCGATCTTTTAAACTGCACACAGACGACGCCCTTTGTCCGTTGTGGTTCCTTTGCTAGGCTTTGTAGGCCTTTGGCCTGCTTATGAACGGTTGCGAGGGTCCATCATCCCCGTCGGAATGCTTTCCAGGTGCGTGCTGGACTACAGTTCCCATCAGGGGCAGGCAGGCAGGCAGGCGCGATGACAAGGGGTGGGGGTGTCTTGTCTTCCTCTGTCTGTTTTTGCCGTGTGGTCGTTTTCTGCCCTGCCATTTTTGTGTGTGCTGATTTGCTGGTTCCCCCCCCCCCCCGGATATCATTGCGAGATTGGAGGAGCTGCAGAAGAGAGCAAATGAAATAAAAAAAAGACCTAGGAATTGGAGCAGCTTCACTGTGGGGATTATTTGTAGTGTTTTGGTTCGAGAGGGCAGGAAAGAAAGTCAGGGAGGACACGAGGGTTAATGTATCACAGTGGTTCTCAACCTTTTTAATGCCGCGACCCCAACCGGTCGTAAGTCGAGGACTAAACCGGTCGTACGTCGAGGACTAAACCGGTCGTAAGTCGAGGACTACCCAACCGGTCGTAAGTCGAAGACTTTCCCTGCCCGGGAGCACCGCGCATGCGTGGTTCCGCCCCCTGCGCCGGCCGAGGCGTAGCTGGCAAGCGGCAGAGACAGAGCAGGCCGACCACCAGCTGGCCCAGCCCAAGGGACGTAAGGCACCTGCCGGAAAAGGGAAAAAAAATGGCGGACAAAAAAAATGGCGGACAGCCTTGCTTGGCGACCCCCATAAAATGGTCGATCGATCCCAAATGGGGTCCCGACCCACAGGTTGAGAACCACTGATGTATCAGGTGGTGAATGTTACGGGTAACCATAGCTATTGTATTCAAACCATGCAATTCCACAACAGCATCTTGTTGGGCAGAGTTGGAACAGATCATTAACCAAATGATCCCAAAAGAAGGACTAGGGATGACATAATAGTAGTCTTCCATAGACACAAAGAGGAGGTGGGTCAAGCTATTCTCCAAAGCGCCTGAAGGCAGGACAAGAAGCAATGGATGGAAACTAATCAAGGAGAGAAGCAACCTAGAACTAAGGAGAAACTTCCTGACAGTTAGAACAATTAACCAGTGGAACAACCTGCCTCCAGAAGCGGTGAATGTTCCAACACTGGAAGTTTTAAAGAAGAAATTGGACAACCGTATGTCTGAAATGGGTTTCCTGCCTGAGCAGTGGGTTGGACTAGAAGACCTCCAAGGTCCCTTCCAACTTTCTTATTCTGTTATTCAACTATGTCTTGATTTAATACATGAAAAGTGTTTGTGTAGTCTGTTTTATTTAACATGTTTTTGTTTATTGCAATTTCTGTGCTACTTCAGTAGATTCTAAGTAACTTGAAAAGTCATACTGACAAGCGCCGGAGACTGCAGAGATGCAGACTCAAATTTATTCTCAGCTCTTTAAATTCACTGGGTGGCTTCAGGCCATTCATGGACTCTCAGCTTAATCTACCTCAGATGTTGTAAAAGGGATCCTATCCTTCTATGGTAGGCAATCAGGTCATTGTTGCTATTACTACTGTTTTCCTCAATTGTCAGTGGTGAGGAAATGGAGTTTCACTGTGCTGGGGAATTGTCTTTTTAAATGTTTAATGTTATAATAATAACAATAATAATAATAAAGTTGGAAGGGATCTTGGATGTCATCTAATCCAACCCCCTGCTCAGGCAGGAAACTATACCATTTCAGACAAATGGCTGTCCAATATCTTCTTAAAAACTTCCAGTGTTGGAGCATTCACCGCTTCTGGAGGCAGGTTGTTCCACTGGTTAATTGTTCTGTCAGGAAGTTTCTCCTTAGTTCTAGGTTATTTTTGTTCTGATTATTCTGGTAAAAAAATTAATATATAAATAATGCCAAGGGTTTTCAGCTTATTGGTCACTGAAAGTGGGTATTAGTGGTACAAGCCACCTACTAAATAACTGTTCATAAAGTTGCTGCAGCACAGCGCATGTGAATATAGAAAAGAATATTCAAATCTTTAGTTGATGGAAAGCTCCTTAGTTGACTTATAACGAATCAAATGAATGCCCCATTTTTCAACAATTGTAAGAATAACATGGCATCTCTGTGATGTTCCACCTAGGTTTCATTATACTGCTAAGGTAAAGTATGCAGGATCAGGAACAGTTTTCCCCCCATGAAGAATAGGAAACTTGGTCATTTCTGGCACAAAATAAATTTCTGGCAAAATACTCTGATCAGATCTCAGTTTCTTAGATTTTTAAAAAGACATAAAATATATTTTATTAGCCTGAAATCCAGTTATTCTTGATTTACCTAATGGGATTTTACATTGACTTTCAGGTTAAGTTATTCTATATAGCAATTTACAATATCGGTCTATAAGATTGGATGCAGTAAAATTAAAATGCTAATGCAAATGCTGCACAAAAATAACACAATCCAGTAAAAAGCAGCAGATAAAATAAAAATTAGAACATTATTGGCAGATGCAACAACTTAAAGCAGGGAGGTGCTCCATTCACACCATAGCACTTTTGGGAGATGGAATCCAAAGTGCTATTAATCCTTAAATGTTGTGCTTATTACATTTGTAGAAGGAAAAGAGAAACTTGTCATTTAGGATCTCTCTTCCTTTGCAATTATATCCTAGCAAATCCTCAACTGCCAGCCTTGTCTTGCAAAGTGATTCTGTGCTCCCTCTTCTTGCTAACCAGGGAAAGCCAGCCGGTGGTTTGGAGTTGCGATGCCCAAATCAGTGAAGACCAACGTCAACATCCTCCATCAGGAGAAGCTGATTGCTCAGAAGAAGCGGGAGATCGAAGCCAAGATGGAGCGGCAAGCCAAACAGAACCACTTACCAGCACAGCAGGCTTCGCAGGGGAGCGAGTATGTAGAATTGACTCTTAAGTATCATTCTGACGTAATTGTAATAAACAGGCGGTGGTGGGGTCAGCAACAGAAAAGAATGTGAATTGGTGATGGAAGAGTTGTGTATTGGTAATTGCTTACCCTTGGTATGATTAGTAAAAGGGCCCGAGAGGGTAAGGTGGTGAGAAAGAAACTTTTCTATAACATTGGAGAACTTTTGCGAGGCAGAACAATAACTACCCTATGCGGATGAGCCCTCAGATTATATGGAGACTGTCTCCTGTTTCCCATAGGCTGAGTTTGCACAACGTGCCAAATGGTGGTTTATTGATTTAACTCAATTGCAAGAGCCATAAACCAATCAGCCACCTTTTGGCTTAGCATGTTATGCTAACCTAGTAACTAACAAGTCAGCCTTTCCTCAGATGAGAGTGATTCAACTATTAGCTGAGAAAGAAAAGATATCAGTGACATACTCCATCCATCCATCCATCCATCCAGAAACTGCCCGTCTCCCTCACTGTGCAACTGTGAGCAGTGTGACAAAGATGGTTAAAACATAATATTAAAAAGTTTATTTATTACATGTTTATTCTACCATCTCCCCTATAAGGTGACTCTGGGCAGCTTACAAATGATCAAACAGGGAGAAAAATAATTAAAATATTAAAATATTAAAATTAACACAGATTAAGATTTTAAAAACTATACTGAAAAAGTTAAAAAGGTGTGGGGAGGGCCTTCAAAGCACTAACCAGCCCCCTAGCTGCTTGCTCCTATGTGATCCCCAAGCAAGGCTGCAGAATCAGATCTTTTAACCTTTCCAAAAGGCCAGGAGGGGGAGGGGTGTCTACCAACCCTCTGGGGAGAGAATGTTCCATAGGGTGGAGGAACGGCAGAGGAGGAGACTGGACAGCCATTTGTCTGAAATGGTATAAGGTTTCCTGCCTGAGCAGGGGGGTTGGACTAGATGGCCTCCAAGGTCCTTCCAACATGATGATGATGATGATGATGATGATGATGACCCCACCAGTCAAAATTATTTAGCTGATGGGGTCCGCAACATATCTTCAGTGGCTGTCCATGTAGGATAGGCTGAAGTAATGGGATAAAGAGTTCCATAGGTAACCTATAGGAGCATGGTATCCTGAGATCATGCCATGTAGGCCTTTAAAAGTCGTAACCAACACCTCAAACACTTTCCCAGTACTGGAAGATGGAGTGGGTGGGCTTATAGAGAAACATAAATAAATCCTGTGTTGCAACTTTTAATATCCTTTCTCACTTTCCCTTTAAGTGACGATAGCGGTGATGGCGAAAGTGGTGTTTCCAACAAATTTGCTAATGATGGCAGCTTCCTCCAGCAGTTCCTGAAGCTACAGAAGGAAAAACAAGGTAGTGGCAAGGGGTTTAGTTTTGTTCTGCCACATTAACACTTGTTGATCTAGAATCGGACTTTCCGAAGAGGTTCTTCACACCGTGGAACCTGTTTAAAAACCGCCCTGATTAAGAGGCAAGCACTTACGATGGGCAACTAAACAAAAGTACACTGTTGAAGATGGGCTCCAGCATGAGCTCGGAAGACTAAACCTCTGGTCCCAGTGACCGACCCAGATTGGATCCGGTAACATTATCCTGGGACGCGTATATTGACCTTCATTTGAAAAAAGTAAACTGTTTCTTGTAAATGAAAAATTAATATTTCCAATATACTTAAAATAAAACTTAAGTTTCACACTTATTTGGGAAGTTACTTTTGGGGAGATGGCTATGCATTACTCATAACTGCTGTCTCCAATGTGGAAAATGAAGAGGGAAAGATTTGCTGCTAATGTTTTCCTGCTGCTAAGCAAGTTGGAAATAGAGTGCAGGCAGAGAGGTAGGTGGGTATGTATTAAATTTCTACACTGCCCATCTCACCCAAGTGACTCTGGGCCGTTACAAAACTGTGATGGCACTGAATGAGGGGGATTTACAACTGGTCCCCAAACGTTCCAGCTATCGCAGCATCCCTGCAGTCACGTGATTGTGATTTCCAATGTTCCCTGTTGGTTTCCCACCAGCAAAGTCAATGGGAAAGCCAGCAGGAAGTCAGAAATTGTGGTCACGTGACTTCCTTGCTTAAAGACCCACGCTGGCCTTGTACAACAGCAACCGGGACTGTAGGAACTGCGGTTGCTAAGCCATGTGGTCACGTGGCACTGCGCTTTACCAATGCATCACTTAACGACAGCAATCCCAGTCCTAGTCATCATTGTACAGTGCTGTTTTATGCCATCTTTTATTTATTCAGAGCCCTTTTGTGTGTTTCTTTCAAGCAAAAAAAAGAAAAGAACACATTGATACGGCCCTATCAGAGGTGATGGTAACCACCAATCCATTTAGTTTTAGAAGTGGATTGGACAAAGTAACAGAGAAAGAGGATGAATTGCCCTCTTGTCCACATTGATAAATTTGAGGAATACCTTTCGTTGAGCACTACTACATGACTCCAGATTTTGAGGGGGGGTTTTGGGGGGAGGGGGGGCTGATCCAGCAGGGTCATCTTGTTCTCGAAGGAAGGCCCCAATCTTTCCATGTTGTAAATGTGTGGGATGGAAGGCGACTAAAATTACTTGGCTAAGGCATCCTTGAGAGATCTGAGCAGGGATCTGAAGTAGCTTATTCTCCTAATGCTGTATCACATCAGTTTTTTCATCTCTTCTCTCCCCCCCCACCCTTCAATTTTATAGGTGCTTCTTCCAGTTCCACAGAAACATCCCATCCTCCCCCTGCAAGTACAGTGAAGAAACCCACCTTGACTGGCAAGCGTCCCAATCTTAGCGTGAGCAGCATGTTGAATCAAGTCAAAAACTACACGCATTCCAAGCAGACACCGGTAACGAACCGCCTGAGCGTTTTCCAGTCGCCAGACGACGAGGAAGAAGAGGATTATGAGCAATGGCTGGAAATCAAAAGTAAGTTTCTTGGTGGGATGTCATCCATTTCTCTGTAATGCCATCTGTGATCACGGAACCCCTAAACAGGCGAGGCTTCTGCCCTGAATTACTTCAGCACTTTGTTTTTTTTAAAAATAGATCGAACAGAAGATGCTAAAAGTGCTTAGGTGGTTTTTTTTTTTTAAAAAAAAGACCTGTGTTTTGTTTACGAGCTAAAAACATTTGCTCAAATGCTGAGCAAGATGTATGCATTAGCATCCTGCTAGGGTAGTTTTGTGGGAAAAGATAGCAGAGAGAAAAGGGGAGGGAAATTTAAAAAGTGGAATGATTTCACTGTGATTCAGTAACCCAAGTCAAAAGACAGCTGTAGGCTAAAAGGTCCTATACTCAAATCACTGAATATATTTGTGCAACGTATTAAGCCACAGAATTGGTGCAGGACAAAATGACAAATCGGGACCAGATCTTGTTTAGATTTCAGTAACACTCTGGAATCTGGATCCATGTTTCTTAGCCTTGGACATTTTAAGATGGGTGGACTTCAACTCCCAGAATTCCCCAGCCAGTATGCATTTTGGGAATTGAAATCCACCCATTTTAAAGTTTGGCCAAGTTGGAGAAACAGTGATCTAAATTATATGTTCGGTGGATAAATTTATCTCAGACCATATTTTCAAATCACGGTGAGGGTGCTCCTCCTTAAGTACAGTTTAATCCATATCCCTGGTTCAGATATCACACAAGGCTCAACCTCCTCATGGTTAACATGGTATATAAATCAGGCCATTGGCAGGCATTATGGCAACCTATAAGTTGTGTTTGCCAGCATAGTTAAGATAAATTCAACCATGGTTTACACTAAGCTAAACCATCTAAGTATGCTTGGCCTGTGCCACATGCTAAACTGACTAGCTTGTGGATACTGTGATTTTTTTTTAAAAAAAAATTAGGTTAAAATGTTATGACAGCCGTAACAAACCGCTTCCATATCATTGCTAAGAAAGAATGATTTCTACCTGGTCACTGAGTATCTAGCGATAGCAATAAGACTTTACAGCCCTCTCTAAGCGGTTTACAGAGTCAGCCTCTTGCCCCCCCCCCCCAACAATCTGGCTCCTTATTTTACTGACCTTGGAAGGATGGAAGGCTGAGTCAACTTTGAGCCAGTGAGGATCAAACTCCTGGCTGTGGGCAGAGTTAGCCTGCAATACTGCATTCTAACCACTGCACCATCACAGCTCCTAGGTCTAGGACAGGGGTAGGCAACCTGGGCTCTTTTATGACTCGTGGACTTCAACTCCCAGAATTCCTGAGCCAGCATGGCTCAGCATGGAAACCTCTCCCTTTCTCCTCAGCATGGCTGGCTCAGGAATTCTGGGAGTTGAAGTCCACGAGTCATAAAAGAGCCCAGGTTGCCTACCCTTGGTCTAGGACAGTGTTTCTCAACCTTGGCAACTTTACGATGTGTGGACTTCAACTCCCAGAATTCTCCAGCTAGCGTTGCTAGCTGGAGAATTTTGGGAGTTGAAGTCCACACATCGTAAAGTTGCCAAGGTTGAGAAACACTGGTCTAGGACAAGGAAAGAGTTATTGTTATTTTTATGATGTACGAATCCAACCCTTTTTTGATTATTCAGCAGATCATACCGAAAAATTGGTTCTTTCAGTTTTTCCCTCTGTAATGCTTAACAGAACAGTCTGACATCATGGTGCAAGGGAACAGTGTATCTTGTGGCAGACCAGGTTACTTTCACAGCTAGGACTGTGTAGCTTTCATGAAACGTGCCCCTGACCACGGATCTGCTTTGAAAACATATTACAATTTGGATATCTAGCAGCCTTCTCCTCGGTCCAAGACAATTGCAACAACTCAAAAAGATGAGTTCTTTTGAACAGACAACTCTGAGAGATATTCAGAATAGGAGTATAGCAGATAGCATTCAGATGTTACGTTAAGATGCAGTTAGATTCCTTCAAATCAGACATCTCGTCTCCCTTGCGTCTAACCAGGAGATTTTAACTGACCCCTATTTATCAGGTCAGTTCAAATTAATCAGCGTTACTTTTAAACAAGCTTTATCTAATTGTGAAGCTGATACAGTATATTTAAACTAACCTTAGTTTCCATCAACCCTAATTCCTGATTCAGATGACACAGGAAGCTTCAGTACTTAAAAGCAGAAGCTAGATTTCTTTTAATTCCATTCTTCCACAACCAGGCAGATACGTAGGGTTGAAGGCCAGCTCTAGCTGGACTTGTACCAGGAAAAGTGGGCCAGTTTAGGCACTATCAAGGGGAGAAGCAAGACTTCCCCATTTGATTTTGGTTCACTTCGCTAGAATCAAGGAAAGATTGCATTCTTCATTTAATCTGGGCGGCCATTCCTGGATTTCAGAACAGGATTGTATAATCCAAAGTGCCATTACCTGAAATCAGAAGGTATATGGGAACCTGTGGCTGAATTCCAGTAGCCTCAGCCAGCACGTTCTGTTCTTGGGATGCTATGAGTTAATTATTTAGCAATAACCGGGGTTGCAGGTTTCTTCAACCTTGCCTTAATGCAGATAGCAAAGCTTCTATCTCATTGGTAGATTCTCTTTGGGACACCTGAGAAATTAAACTCCTTGTATAATTCTCACAGGTGTTCAAGGGTGATGATACCAATAAAGGAGAATATTTGTAGCTCAGGGTTGAAACGAGGGGGGTTGGTCCTTGGTGCTCTCTGAGTTTGGGAGTTTTCTAGCACCGATGACCACTAGCCCTGATGAAGTTACTTAGTTTGGGTAATGAAATGTCTTCAAGAAAACAACCAAGCTCAGAGAGCAACAAGGACCTCCAAGGTCCCTTCCAACTTTATCATTATTATTATTATTATTATTATTAAGGACTCCTCAAGGGTGATGAATTTTAGCCTTTCTCCCTGCAAGTTTTGGGGCCCTGGGTTCTGAGGCCCTGTCCTTTCACAAGCTCAGATCAAAGATCTGATTTGGCACTGGGTTCTATTGTTGCAGAAGCTGCCTCGGGTGGGCCCTGGGTGAATCTAGTAGCTATTGCGCCAAACCTGAAGATGTTATGAACCTCAGCCTTACCACGTTTCTTTCCCACGTTACCTTCCTTTCTCCCTGCCCGGATTAAAAGCGTCAGGCTTACGTTGCTGTCCACCATGTCTCCATTTCCTCCTCTTCTCATTCCCCACCCTGCCTTCTCCCTGCCGACTCATGGCTCTTAGAGGTAATGTGCCTGTTGGGTGTGTGAGTAGAGAGCCCCCTGTACTGACAGCCTGCTTAAAGTTTGCCCCCCAGAGGACATCCGGACCCGCCGAATCGTTGAGAAGCTGGCCAAGGTGGTGGCCGAAGGGGGCCCAGAAATGGAGAAGGTCGCCCTGGAAGACTGCAAGGATAACCCAGTATTTGCGTAGGTTGCTTCCTGTTTCTCCCTGGGCGGGGTTCCCCCGATAGGGATTGGGTCCATACTCATCACCAAAAGCCCTAGGCCAGGGGTGTCAACTCAAATTTCATTGAGGGCCGCATCAGCATTGTGGTTGCCCTCAGGGGGCCAGGTGGGTGCGGCCTACTGGGTGGGCGTGGATGGAGCGGGTGTGGCCTACTGGGTGGGCATGGCCAGCTCTACATTCGCGTCAAGGGTGCCTGTGGGGGCCTGGGCAGGAGTGGGACAGATCTGAGGGTCTCTGGCAGAAGGGGGTGGGACCAGGGCAGAGCCCATCAAGCCGGATATGTGAAGTAGGCGAGGGCCATTTGCTGGCCACTTCCAGGCGATGGTCCATTTCTTCATTCCTCACAAAGGGTGACACCTCCCCGGCATGCACCCAGGGGGCGGGGCCGACATGGCAGGGGCTGGTTCCTCGCTGTTTCCAGACAGCCTTGTGGAGCTAAGACTGAATGCGTTTCAGCATAGATGGCTAACCCAAAAATTGTACATTGGCTCCCGGCTGGCCTGGGCGAGGGCCAAGGCAGCGGGGGCCGTTTCCTCACTGTTTCCAGGATGGCTTCGTGGGCCACATGAAACCACTTCGCGGGCCGCATCCGGCCCCCAGGCCTTGTGTTTCACATGTCTGCCCTAGGCTTCTGGTATTCCATCCATGGGACTTTCCTGCTCCTCCCAGGGCATATCCATGACCATCAGCCTTTCCTACTTTGGGGACCTGGAGATCCCTTGGTCTGCAGCCACCTGTCCCCATCCCAAAAGCAGCCTTAAATACATCGTTCGCCCTTCTTTCCTGCTTTCAGGTTCCTACACGATAAGAACAGCCCAGAATTTCTCTACTACAGAAAGAAACTGGCTGAGATGTGGAAGAAAGGCCAAGTTCACGTAGAGGAGAAGACCTCCCCTTCTCAGAAAGGTGAGACGAGGTTTCACAGCTTCATAAGTCGTTTACATCACTTACAGCAGGGTTCCCCCATCTCGGCAAGTTTAAGACGTGTGGACTTCAACTCCCAGAATTCCCCAGCCGGCATGGCTAGCTGAGGAACTCTGGCAGTTGAAGTCCACACGTCTTAAAAGTTGCCAAAGTTGAGAGACCTCGGCTTGCAGTGTTGTGATCAGGCAGTCAGCTTATATTGGGTAGTTAAAATGAATGTGATAAAGCAGGGGTCTTCAAACTTGGCCCTTTTATGACTTGTGGACTTCAACTCCCAGAATTCCTCAGCCAGCTTGCCTGGCTGAGGAATTCTGGGAGTTGAAGTCCACAAGTCATAAAAGGGCCAAGTTTGAAGACCCCCTGTGATAGAGCTAAGGAGATGGGATGCATTTCAATTTGTCCCCCAATTAATTAATAGGTACGTGCAGCCTCATTCTCCTTACCTTGTAATTCTTTTACACGAGGAGCGTGCCGCTGCATTACATCCATCATCTCTGAAGTAATGTTTCAAAATTATTGGTTTTTGTCTAACGGATTGATTTAAATTGGTATGCCAATGCGTAAAATCAAGCACTGGTAACACAGATCTCAGGATGCAGATAACATTCTCTCCTATGACATTAAGCTAGGAATAACAAGCCTGCTAATGATGTGATAGTATCATTAGCTCTAGATTGCAGGACAAAAATTTGCCCGCTGGGTTGTCCGACATAGTCTGTAGGGCCCTTTGGCTCTGCCAGTGTTTCCTTCCCCAGGAAGTATGGTGTGGCTACACACTCAGTCACAATTCCCACAAGACCCTCACATGGCAAAATAGTGGAGGTAGCAAATGGAACTTAAATGCTGGTTACCTAACAATTAGTAGCAAAACCATAGTAGTTACAGACTGGGTGTTCAAGCTGCTGGACTCAGTTTTTGCCTAGATTTAAATTACCACATTTATGAGTTTTTAGAAGTTCAATGCAGCCTTGACTTTGCTATTGTTAGCCATTTTAAGTTCCCCATGTTTGGGCTTGTGTTTGAGTTTCGTTCTGATACATTTTGGGAGAAGAGGGTTATTTTTTTATTTTTTTTAACAATGTCCTGTCTGAATTCGGATATTTTTTTTTTAAAAAAAATGATTCTTAAAATTCTGATTTTTGAAAAACAAAATCTAGATTCTGAGGATTTCTTTTTAGAAAAAAAAATAGCTCACAACTTAATCAAAAGAATACATGTGGAAAAGTAATTTGAAAAGTTAAAATGATAAAAGTAGTCCTCAACTTATGACGGATCCCGAAAATACTTACAGCCTGGATTCAAAGTTCTGAGGGCTGCCCCTCCTCCCTCTCAGTGTCACATGATCACATTTTGAATGCTTGGTAACTGGCCCACATTTACGGCGTTTGCAGTGACCTGTGGTCACATGACCACAATTGACAACTTTTTTTGCCCAAAACCAGCATTTATTTTTGGTTTCCGGCAAAAAATCCTACCCAGTACCAATCGTCTTCATTTAATGACTGCAGCGTTCACTTAATTAACAACCACTGCAAAAAAAAAAAAAAAAAGCTTGTCACATGATAACCCACTTAATGACCAGCATAACTTTCAACTATAAAAACAGGCTCAATTACAGTCGTAAATCGAGGACTACCTTTACTTAAATTATACCGGTTGTATTTGAAAATTCAGAAGAATGGGGTTTTTTTTCTGATTGTTAGCTAAAGAAGAATTCTGTTAGGTTCAACGTGTGTATCTTGCTTTGCCTGGTAGATTTACAATCAGAAAAATGGAAAATGGAAATCCAGACCAGAAGTGAGGAATCAGATCACACTTCAGATACCTCAGACATAGCTGCCTGTATTATAGCTTAAAAAAAATAATAAAAATTCTAGGCTGGTTTCTAGGCAAAACAGTACCTGGCATATTAGCGATGTGGTTTGGATATCAAAAGGGGAATATTTGTGCTTAAAATACACAGACTTTTAACTTATTACATTACCACCCTGCATCCCTTAATATGCCCTATGCAAAATTCAGATCATTAAAGTAGTAGTCATTGGAAGGGAAAGCAGGGGTCTAGATTGAATGAAATAAAATGTTTCCAAGCATTGCACCTGCAAAATGTTGAAAGCTTTTGTCTTACCAAATTAATTCAGGGGCGGGGGTATTGGTCATTTTTGAATGTCCATTAAATTGGAAAGTAGGTTGCCATAATGATTTGTGCTGTTTCTGTAATCCGGATGGCATTAATCAGGATAGATTAATCCGTTGCACTGAGGTTTCATTAGAGCAGCCTTCTCAATCTTGACATCTTTAAGATGTGTGGACTTCAACTCCCAGAATTCCCCAGCCAGCCAACTTGTGGAAGTTGAAGTCCATATATCTTAAAAATGCCAAGATTGAGAAACAATGTACTAGAGCAGGGGTAGGCAACCTTGGCTCTTTTATGACTCATGGACTTCAACTCCCAGAATTCCTGAGCCAGCATAGGAATTCTGGGAGTTGAAGTCCACGAGTCATAAAAGAGCCAAGGTTGCCTACCTCTGTACTAGAGTATCATTCTTAGCCTTCACAGCTATTTAAGGATCTGCTTGAGAAAACCTCCAGATGACTGCCACATTCCAGGCTAGCCTCCCAGTCTTTTTTCCAGCAGTGTCCCAGGCTAGTTCCATTTTTTTTTCTAACTTGCATTTATAAAGAAAAAGGGGAAACAAAGCAAACATTTCAACCATCCTCTTCCCACTTATTCCCACCCTCTGGGATCCTTAAAGCCAGATTAATCTTGTGACTGTTGGGTGTGTGAGTTGGGGACACCGTACTGACAGCCTGCTTAAAGTTTCACCCCCAGAGGATGAAGAGACCAAGGACTGTGCTGAGAAGCTGGCTCGGTTTGTGGCCGACGGCGGCCCTGTGGTGGAAATGGTTGCCCTGAAAAACCACCGAGACAATCAGTCATTCAGGTAAAAGAGGCCGGTGAGAAGGGAGACCCTGGCAGAAATGCCAGCTTTTCCCAAATGATTTTAAAATGCTGAAAATCTATAAACGTTTTTGATGATCTTTCTTAGCACTTGAGCTTTTTTCCTTCATTGATTTCAGGGCATTGGGGGGCCATGAAATGGACCAGTTCCCGCCCCCCCCCCCCAAATCTGGACATTTGATGAATCAGATCTTGGTTTCATTCTATATTAAGATAAAAAGCACAAAGTCGCAATGATGCTAGTAACAGTTTTCTCCAAAACCATAGCAATGCTAGAATCAAGAATCAATTTATTATTACTGCCGAAGGCCAACACATAAATTAAACATTCAAATAAAACAAAACTGAACAGAACCAACACAAGAAGACATAGCAATATATTACCATTAATGATGTAATCAGTGGGTGACCAAGGTCTGCCTAGTTGTTACAGACAGTATAAAAAAACTAGCTAGCTTCAGAAAAACTGAATCATATTGACTTGACAATAAAAATACATTGACTATAGCAGTGGTGGCGAACCTATGGCACGGGTGCCAGAGGCGGCACTCAGAGCCCTCTCTGTGGGCACGCGCATGCAAGAAAAAGATCTTGCAAAGTTGGAATTGATTGATTGAACTTTTTAGTCCCACCCAGTCTGCCGTTACCACCGCAGCCACGCTCACCCAATTGGCCTCACCCACCCGGCACCCAACGATGCATAAGTGGGTTTTGGGTTGCAGTTTGGGCACTCAGTCTCTAAAAGGTTCACCATCACTGGACTATAGTCTAATGCTGGATAAAAACATGTAATATAATTGATTATAAAAGATTATTAAAAAAGATCTAAAATGTTTATTTATGTTTCTGGCGAATCCCCAGTGCTGCTGCGCAGAATCTAGCCACCTGTGCCGTGATCACTGCCTGTTCAGATTGAACATCCAAATGCATCCTCCTCTGCTTTTATGTGCACTTAGATGGATAAATTTGGATTCAAATTTTGTATCCCAGTGTGAGCCTGATTTTGTATCCCAGTGTGTCATCTTGGTTTAAATCAAATTATGGTTTGATCAACGCTCTATAGAGAATACAGGCAGTCCTCGACTTGAAACCACAACTGAGCCCAAAATTTGGGTCACTAAGACGTTTGATAAGTGAGTTTTGCCCCAGTTTATGATCTATCTTGCCACAGTTGTTAAGTGAATTGCTTTAGTTGGTACCCCGTCGTTAAGTGAATCTGGCTTCCCCACTGACTTTGCTTGTCAGAAGAGCTGCAAAAAGTGATCCCATGACCGTGGGACAAAGCAATGGTCATAAATAGGAGCCAGCTGCCAAGCATCTGAATTTTGATCCTATGATCCTGGGGATGCTTCAAAGATGGTAGCTGTGAAAAACGGTCGTAAGTCACTTTTTTCCCAGTGCCGTTGTAACTTTTGAGGGGTCGCTAAAGAAATGGTGAGTCGAGGACTACCTGTGTGTAATTAGTTACTGAATAAAAAGTCAAGCCATAAACCTATTTTCTGTAGGAAGCGCATACTTCTATTGCAGTTGCATTTAACTTCTAAGATGCTTCAGATTTGAATTTGGAAAGAGGGTTTTTTGGAGCGGGGGGCTGTATGTGTGTATTGCAGAATTGGCAATTCCTGTTACAGAAATAGAAATACACTTATGGGTTCACTAGCAGCCCTTTTTCAGCAAGGAAGGGAGATAGCCGTGCCCTGTTAAAAATCTTGATAAGCTATTGGATGTATTGTCTCTGTAAATGACAACTTGCTGGACTTATTGTCTCTTTGTCAGACCTGTCTCAGCTTGATCCTCTAAAGCAGGGGTCCTCAACCGTGGCAACTTTAAGACTTGTGGACGTCAACTCTCAGAATTCTGGGAGTTGAAGTCCACAAGTCTTAAAGTTGCCAAGGTTGAGGACCCCTGCTCTAAAACATCCTAAATTCCATTTTTTGAGAAAGGTACAGTTTACTAGAGGTCAAGTGACTTGCAGCAGCTCATAGCCAGAATTGAAAATCGCATCCCAAAATCTCTTAGTTGCCTCCCATTACCGGCCCACCACATCCAGTCAACTTCAAACAAGATGTTTTTAGACCGGTCGCTTCAGGCGTCTGTTTGGTCTGCAGCTTGACCCTCTAATTAAGAACCATCGTTAACTCCCATTTGCTGAGAAAGGTATAGTTTACTAGACGTCAAGTGAATTAACGGTTAGTGCACAGCCAGAACTGAATGTTGTCTCCCATTACTGCCCCCCACATGTCCAATCAAATTCAGACAAGATGTGTTTTTTTTAAAAAATAAAGTTTTATTGAGTTTTATAAAGTTGAGGAAGGGATGGGGTCAATATAGAGATGGGGTCAGTATAGACAAGATGTTTTGAGGGGTTGCCACAAAAAAGAGGGAGTCAAATCTATTTTCCAAAGCACCAGAAGTGGACAAGACAAGAAACAATGGATGGAAACTAAGTAGAGAAGTAACCTAGAACTAAGGAGAAAATTCCTAATGGTGGGAACAATTAACAAGTGGGACAGCTTGCTGTCGGAAGTTATGGGTGCTTCATCAGGGAAGGTTTTTAAGGAGAGACTGGACAGCCATTTGTCTGAAATGGTATAGGGTCTCCTGCTTGAGCAGGGGGTTGGACTAGATGACCCTGAAGGTCCCTTCCAGCTGTATTCTGATTGATTGAACTGATTGAAGGCGGTCACTTCAGGCGTAGGTTGTGTCCCATTCCCAGCCAGGTTAATTTCAAAGCCTCCACCTCGGAAAGAGATAACAGTGAACTTTTGTTTCCCTTGAAGCGTCCCCCCCTCCCATCTAGCCCCCTCTCCCCACTAGGGTTCACGGCAACTGATATTGAATAGTAGTGAAGTGCAGGCATGAGGTGGCAGCTGACCCCCTTTTTTTGTTTTGTGTACGCTTGCAGATTTTTGTACGAGCCCAATAGCTCTGGATACAAGTATTACCGACAGAAGCTGGAGGAATTCCGGAAAGCAAACAGTAACATGGAGGGCGTGCCACCGGGATCGGAAGCCAACCTGAAGCGCAAGGCCTCTTCTGAGGGAGGGGCTTCCTCTTCCATTTCTTCTTCCTCCTCCTCTTCCTCCTCCTCCTCCTCCTTCTCCTGCTCTTCCTCCTCCTCCTCCTCCTCAACACCTGCACCCACAGTTTCTCTGCCGAAGCAGGTAGCCACATCCAGCGTGAAGAAAAAGCGGAAAAGCCGGTGGGGCCCAGAGGAGGAGAAGGTGGACTTACCTCCTCCAGAGCTTGCTCAGCAGACACAGGAGCTGTCGCCAACACCGTTGTCTGGTTAGCTCTTGTTGTGTTATAAAGCCAGGGCAGAGCTGGGACTTCTGAGGGGCTCTTGCGGGGGTGTGTGTGTGTGAGTTGTCTCCAGCCAGCCAGTTTTATTGGAAGCAGAGGATAGCGCTAGAGAAGCAGCTTCATTTCGTTGGCACCTGGGCAGGTAGTCCTTGACTTACAACCGGGCGCTTACGACCATTCAAACTTAGGACAGCTCTACCTTGGGGCTACTTACAACCCACATTTGAAGTTGCGACGGTCGGGGAGCCCTCCACCCACATGATCATGTGACCGAACTTTGAGTACTGGGCAGGGTGGATACATTTAGAGCCGTTTGCAGAATCCTGTGGGCCCATGACCACACTTCACGGCACTTTAAGGCACTTCCACTTTTCAGCGAAATCACCCCCATAGCAAATCATAGCATCCATCCACTGCCAAAAAAAAAAAAAAAAGATTACATAACCAACCTGTTTTTACAACATCGTGAGTTATGGCCCGAGTGGGCAGGCTCTATTATGGTCATAGGTTGAGGACTGCCTGTAATGGGATCTTCGCATCTGCTCCAGTGATGTTTTTTTAAGCCCCACCATGGCCTTGCCTCTGGCTGTTAAGAGCCTTAGCCTCAGAGCTATTAAGATTAAGTCTCTTTATGGAGAGGGTTAACCCTTACAAGGCAGTCAGAGATGAAATATGCTGCAGAGCTGGGAAAAAATACCCGAGAATTTACTTGATTCTCATGAACACACCTTGTCATGGTAGCTATGCACAACATTCAAGAACAACCAAAGGAGGAGCATCTTGTAGAACAGGGGTGTCAAACTGCCGTCCCGCGGGCTGGATGCGTCATCCGGAAGCCACGCCCACCCCATTGCCGGCAATGGCAAGACCGTCCCGATACGTTGCACGATGTCATGTGACGTTGCGAGTTTGACATGTCTCTTCTAGACTTAAGACTAAAATGCTGCTTGATGCACCTGGATCAGAGATACTACCTACCATAGAGCAGGGCTTTTCAACCAGTGGTACAGGTACCAGCTGTGGTACATTGGCACCTGGCAGGTGGTATGCAACCATCCTAGAAAAGGGGTAGCAGGGGAGGGGAATGAGCTAAACCGGTGGCAGCACCGCACAAGCCTGAGCGAGAGATGGCTGGAGATGCAGGGCTGTCAGGGCTCAGCGGAAGCGCCAGGATCAATGCTTCGGGGCTGTCAGGGCTCAGAGGAAGCACCAGGATCAGCGCCAGGCTCTAGCTGGAGCTCCGCGCTGATCCTGGTGCTTCTGCTGAGCCCAGAAGAAGCGCCGATCAGCTGGAATGTTGCAGAATGTTCCAGGGTCTTATAATTTAAATTCAGATGCTTGGCAACTGATTCATATTTATGATGGTCACAGTGTCCCAGGGTCATGTGACGTGACCAAAACCTGCTGCAACCACCCAGCAGATGGGGGGAATAAAAACCAAACACCCCCTACCCCACTCTCGCTGCCAATCCTCAACAGAAATGCTCACAACAATGAAAACCTCGGACAGGAGGAAGAGCGCCGCCGGGTGGGCAGGCAGGTGTCTTGCTCGGCTGTGGTTTGGGGGGCACTTTTGTCAGTGCCATTGTAACTTCGAACAGTCACTAAGCGAACTGTTGTAAGTCAACTACCTGTACTTCATCACTTTTTTCCTTTGGGGGGGTCATCAAGTTTTTAAGACCTTGCTAGGCGACTGATGGTACTCGGATATTGCCATATCCTAAAAGTGGTACAATGGGGGAAAAGGTTGAAAAGCCCTGCCATAGAGGATAGTAGGGTGCTTTTAAGCAACAATAGTTGGGGAAAGGGTTGCAGTGGAGGAGCAAGTTAACTCTTCTAATCTCTGTGTCTTCTCCAGTCCAGGACCTCAAAGGACTTGGCTACGAGAAGGGGAAGCCAGTTGGATTGGTGGGTGTGACAGAGCTGTCAGATGCGCAGAAGAAGCAGCTGAAGGAGCAGCAAGAGGTATATTAACGTCACATTGTTCTGGTGGGAGCTTGTTGGGGCCAGTGCGTTTTTTAGTTTTTGTGTCTCTGCTGCTGCCGCCATCCAGTTTTCTCTGTGTTGATCTAGGGCAGGGGTCTTCAAACTTGGCCCTTTTATGACATGCGTGCCTGGCTGAGGAATTCTAGGAGTTGAAGTCCACAAGTCATAAAAGGGCCAAGTTTGAAGACTCCTGATCTAGGGGTTAAGGCCAGGATTAGAAGCCAGGAGACTTAAGTTCTAGTCCCACTTGAGGCATGAAAGCCGGCTGGGTGACTTTGGGTCAGTCACCAGGAGACTGTGAATTCTAGTCCTGCCTTAGCCATGAAAGTCAGCAGGGTGACCTTAGGCCAGTCACTCTCTTTCAGCCCAACTCACCTCCTAAGATTGTTGTTGTGGGGAAAATAAGAGGAGGAAGGTGTGTTGAGTATGTTCACTGCCTTGAGTTATTGTAAAAATAAAGTGGGATTAAGATAGATAGGTAGGTAGGTAGTATAGAACAGTGGTGGCGAACCTATGGCTTGGGTGCCAGAGGCGGCACTCAGAGCCCTCTCTGTGGGCACGCATGCCGTCGCCCCAGTCCTAGGCCTTCAGCTGGGTTTTATAAAAACCTTTTCGCTTTAGGCTTCCGCCGCCGTGTACACAAAAAAAAGGTTCAATCAATCAATCAATTTCAACTTCTCGCGGGAAAAAAAAAGATCTTGCAAAGTTGGAATTGATTGATTGAACTTTTTAGTCCCACCCAGTCTGCTGTTACCACCGCAGCCACGCCCACCCAATGGGCCACACCCACCCAATGGGCCACACCCACCTGGCACCCGACGATGCATAAGTGGGTTTGGGGTTGCAGTTTGGGCACTCGGTCTCTAACGGGTTCGCCATCACTGGTATAGAAGATGACCTTGAAGGACAGAAAGAGAATCCATTATCAATACATCAATCAGATAAACCAGCCTTAAGCCCAGACCAAGGAAGTGGTGTATGGAAATGCCTCAGAGAGCCTCTCCCCATTAATATGAAGCTAAAAAAGGGAGGAAGGAAACACATTCAGACTTACAAGGTCGATGTCAGCCTTCTAAGGTAGACTAGACCAGTGTTTCTGAACCTTGACAATTTTAAGGCATGTGGACTTCAACTCCCAGAGTTCCACAGCCAGCAATGCTGGCTGTGGAATTCTGGGAGTTGAAGTCCACATGCCTTAAAATTGTCAAGGTTGAGAAACACTGGACTAGACTAAGTAGCAGAAACAGACACTGTGTAGACGTAAAGCTACTTTTATTAGAATAGCTACATTAACAGTATCCTCCAAGCCAAAAAGACACAGAAGTTCTCTGTTATGGCCATGTTAGCCAAATATGCCCCATTGTTTCCTAGAGTCTTGTAGAGTAAGTTTACACATGTTTTGCCTTAGCATATTATGCAAACCTAATGTGTAATACCATGTTTGTGGCTTACTGTATTGTACAAATGCAAATAACTCATTTATTCAGCAAACGCCATATTATATGAATGAGACACTGACCTGTGGTTTGAAAGATTTAAGCAACTGCTATCTGGCTTCTTCCTGGTTCTGCAAAGCAAGAATTGGTGAAATAGGGGCTAATTGGGACGTCTTCCTTCTAATTGGGAAAGGTTTGAATGATGCGGAAGTAATCTATTGTATTTCTATTCTATTTTTATTCTATTCTGTTCTTGTCTATTTCTATTCTATTCTGTTCTATTTCTTACTCTGTTCTATTCTATTCTATTCTATTCTATTCCGTTCTTTCATTATTCTGTTCTGTTCTGTTCTATTTCTATTCTGTTCTGTTCTATTCTAAATTTCTATTCTATTCTGTTCTAATTCTATTATGTTATGTTATGTTATATTCCGTTCTTTCATTATTCTGTTCTATTTCTACTCTACTCTACTCTACTCTACTCTACTCTACTCTACTCTACTCTACTCTACTCTACTCTACTCTACTCTACTCTACAGATGCAGCAAATGTATGACATGATCATGAAGCACAAACAGGCCATGCAGGAGATGCAGATCATGTGGGAGAGGACGATCAAAGAGCACCAGTCCGGCTACGACAGCGATGAGGAAATTGACAATGAGCTGGGCACGTGGGAGCACCAGCTGAGGCGCATGGAGATGGACAAGACGCGTGGTTAGTGCTTGGAGGGGAGATGGGGAAGACTTCGTTTCCACCTTGATCTACGTAATGCAGATGGCCTTGACTTACAACCAGAATCGAACCTGGAATTATGGTCATACGTTGTGCTAGCAGTTAGCTGTGACCATGCCCTACATTATGAATGTTTTTGCGGCCGTTGTTAAGCAAATCTATTGTTTTCAATGGATGATATATATATATATATTTTGCTAGAAACCAAAAATACACTAGACCAAGGGTGCCAAACTGCCAGCCCACAGGCTAAATGCATCACACGGAAGCCGCGCCCACCCCTTTGCCGGCAATGGCAAAACAGTCCCGATACGTTGTGTGACGTCACGTGACATCACAAGTTTGACATGTCTGGACTAGACGATTCTCATAATCGTTTCCAACCTTTACATTCAATGAATTTTCCCAACGTTTAACTCTCTATTACTCTTAACGCAGCTCCCTATAAAGCTTCTGTCTCTACAGCAGGGGTCCCCAAACCCTGGGCCTGGCCTCTTAGGAACTGGGTTGCACAGCTGGAGGTGAGCAGCAGGCAAGAGAAACTGCCCACGCGCAGGATCTAGATTGCACACTCCTCCTCCACAGCCTGTGGAAAAATTGTGTTCCACAAAACCGGTCCCTGGGCCCAAAAGGTTGGGAACCAGTGCTCTGCAGAATCTGGTGCAAGAGAACTAAAATCTTTTAACTCACCAGTTGTAACTTTCCCCTCCCCCGTGCTAGCTGGGGAATTCTGGGAGTTGGAGTCCACCCATTTTCAAGTTGCCATGCTTTAGAACAGGGGTCTTCAAACTTGGCCCTTTTATGACTCGTGGACTTCAACTCCCAGAATTCCTCAGCCAGGCATGCTGGCTCAGGAATTCTGGGAGTTGAAGTCCACGAGTCATAAAAGGGCCAAGTTTGAAGACCCCTGCTTTAGAACATGGTTCCTACCCATCCTTAATTATAAGCCAGGTGCCTGGAGTTATGGATGTTATAAAGAAATTCTCTAGGGTCCAACATAAAGTTGCCGATCCCAGCAAATACATAGACTGAGTGTGTATTGACTCTGTACAGGTAGCCCCCGGCTTAACAAGCACAGTTGAGCCCAATATTTCTGTTGCTAAGTGAGACAGTTGCCCCATTTTACGACCTTTCTTGCCACAGTTGTTCAATAAATCACTGCAATTGTTAAGTTAGTAACACCGTCGTTAAACGAATCTGGCTTCCCCGTTGACTTTGCTTTTTGGAAGATGACAAAAGGTGATCACAACCCCAGGACACTGCAGCTGTCATAAATATGAGCCAGTTGCCAAACATCAGAATTTTTTTTTTAAATTCAAATTTTATTAAATGTACATTTAAAAACAGAAATAATAATAATAATAATAATAATAATGATGATGATGATGATGATGATGATGATGATAAAGTTGGAAGGGATCTTGGAGGTCATCTAGTCCAACCCCCTGCTCAGGCAGGAAATCCTATACTATTTCGGACAAATGGCTGTCCAGTCTCTTCTTAGAAACTTCCAGTGTTGGCGCATTCACCGTGGACATGATTCAACTTCCCTGGCTACAACACTGCTATTAGTATTACCTTATGTTACAGAAAGAAAAACAGAAACTTAAAATACATTCTATAACAGGACAGAATATAACAAACTGTACATATAACATCTGTAAATTTTTTGGTAAACCATCTTTCAGTCGTCAACGTTGTATTTACATATCTTTCAGTTGTGTCCTAATATAGGTGTTAATAAGAAGTCCTTACGATATCAACTAATCAATTGATAATCATCTCAGCGATCCTTCTTATCTCTAACCAATCGTACAAATTTTTCCAAATTTCATAATACTCTGTTTCAGTTTTATTTTTAATCTCTAGAGTTAACCTGTCCATTTCGGCGCAGGAAAAGATTTTATTTATTATTTCTTCTTCAATGGGGATTTCCTTTCTTTTCCATTTTTGGGCATATGCCAATCTTGCTGCGGTTAAAATATGCAATAGTAAGGAGAAAGATGCTTTGCTGAGTTTATCATTAATAATCCCTAATAAGAAGGTTTCTGGTTTTAAATCAATTTTTTGTAATAGTATTTCTTCTAACCAATTTTTTATCTGAGCCAAGCGTCAGAATTTTGATCACGTAACCACGGGGATGCTGCAACGGTTGGTAAGCGTGAAGCCCGGTCGTAACTCACTTTTTTCGGTGCCGTTGTAACTTTGAACGGTCACCGAACAAATGGTTGTAAGTCAAGGACTACTTGTATGTTCTTCAGACAATATCTTGCTGAGAAATAATTCTCTTTCTGCCTGGTCTTTTTCAGAATGGGCGGAGCAGCTGACTCAAATGGGCCGAGGAAAACATTTCATTGGCGATTTTCTGCCACCTGATGAGCTTGACAAGTTTATGGAAACCTTCAAAGCTCTGAAGGTAAAATGTTTAGCATCCTTCTCTTTAGGACATCTTATACATATGCAGAGTGATTGAATGTTTTTGGAGGAGGTTTGGGAGGGGGGGAAGAAGAGGAAGAGGATCTGTCTTCCTGATTGAAACAAAATTGGGCAATACATTAGGTCAGGGCTCTTCAAACGTGGCCCTTTGAGGACTTGTGGACTTCAACTCCCAGAATTCCTCAGCCAGGCACGCGTGCCTGGCTGAGGAACTCTGGGAGTTGAAGTCCACAAGTCATCAAAGGGCCACGTTTGAAGAGCTCTGCATTAGATACGTGCAATAGGCAAAACATTTCAAACTGAAAAAAGGAGGTTTGCTCCAAAAGGGTTGACATTCGACTCAAAAGAATACCAGTTGAAATGGAAAATATTGGCAGTGCAGTTGGAACAGCATTTAAACCTCAAAGGTGCCCCTTGAAACTTAGAAATGTTTCAGATTCAGAATGCTTTCTACCTCATGGTTGTGCGTGTTCACACCAGAAAACACTGCTGCAAAACTGGAAAAAGAGCAAAGACAGCTAACCAAAAGTAATCAGAGATACACCGAGGCACCACCTCTCCAGAGAAATCCTAAACCGTTCAGAGCTTTGCAGTCTGGAAATAGCTATATAAAATTATTCTCTCAAGAATACTCTTTTATACTCCTGCCTTAATAGTACTTCAACTGAAGGATTGTGCAAAAAAAACACCCCAATATCTGGAAGACCCACTCAAGGAAGCATTACTCACACTGTTGTGAGATTCACTGCCTTCAGACAGATGGCATGGACCCTTGAAAGGGAACTGAAAAAGGTTGTGGAGGATTCATCCCTTGTCAGCCGCAGTGACAGCTCAGAACTGTGTTTCTCAACCTTGACAACTAGAAGAGGTGCGGACTTCAATTCCCAGAATTCATTGCTGGCTGGAGAGATCTGGGAATTGAAGTCCACCTCTTTTTAAATTGTCACAGTTGAGAAACATGGCTTTGAAGCAGATTCTCCTGCATGATTTATTTTTAAACTATTCTTTTCTTCCTCCACAGGAAGGCCGTGAGCCTGATTACTCTGAATACAAAGAATTTAAACTGACTGTGGAAAACATAGGTTACCAGATGCTGATGAAAATGGGCTGGAAGGAAGGTGATGGTCTGGGATCTGATGGTCAAGGTATCAAAGCTCCTGTTAACAAGTAGGTGTCTAATCCCTCTTTTGTTATTTCTTGATTTGGAAAAAAAAAGTCCTTCCTCCTCTGCTCAGAGACACATACAGCAGCGAACGAGCTAGAAAACTTAAGATTAAAAAAAAGTATTTAGAACATCAGTGTAGAAAGAAAACAGTTGCAAAATTGATAGAATAAAGTCTACTTTTTATATAACGTCACCAGCATATGCTTTCTAATATGGCATATTGGCTTAGCAGTTGAAGGTCGAAGCTTGGCAGTTTTAGTAATAGTAATACTAGTAAAGTTGGAAGGGACCTTGGAGGTCATCTAGTCCAACCCCCTGCTCAGGCAGGAAACCCTATACCATTTCGGACAAATGGCTGTCCAGTCTCTTCTTAGAAACTTCCAGTGTTGGAGCATTCACCGCTTCTGGAGGCAGGTTGTTCCACTGGTTAATTGTTCTAACTGTCAGGAAGTTTCTCCTAAGTTTTAGATTGCTTCTCTCCTTGATTAGTTTCCACCCGTTGCTTCTTGTCCTGCCTTCAGGCGCTTTGGAAAATAGCTTGACTCCCTCTTCTTTGTGGCAGCCCCTGAGATATTGGAACACTGCTATCATGTCCCCCCTCATCCTTCTCTTCATTAAACTAGACATACCCAATTCCAGCAGCCGTTCCTTATATGCTTTAGCCCAGTGTTTCTCAACCTTGACAATTTTAAGGCATCTGGACTTCAATTCCCAGAATTCCACAACCAGCAATGCTGGCTGTGGAATTCTGGGAGTTGAAGTCCACATGCCTTAAAATTGTCAAGGTTGAGAACACTGCTTTAGCCTTCTATGCTTTAGACGAGTTTGCTTTTCAGATGCTTGATTGTCGGCAGCTGAGAATCAGGGACGTTTCAGCAGATGGTAAAGGAGAGGAGAAGCTGCAGAGGGGAGACCAAAACAAGCATCTCTTTTTTTTCTTTCTTCCCTGTATTCATGTGAATGACATTGTCCCAGGGAGGAATGTTTGCTTCCTTCTGTGAACAGACAGGAGTCAGAGGTGGCATCACATGGGCCAGGTCCACAGTCACGAGTCGGCCTATCTCAATGGTCATTCAGATGACCTGCTTGGAAGGGGTGACCTGCTAACCCCCTTCTCACACCGGAGTCACTATGAATGTTCTTTTTTTTTTTAAGGGGTGAGAGGAGACTGGATCATGATTGGGATGGCAGTATAAGTTTTGGCTTGGTAGCAAGGGGTCCCAGCGTAGAAAAAAAAATAAGTGTATTTGCAGCTAGTCCTTGACTTACGGCCATAATCGAGCCCAGAATAATGGTCGTAAGTCATGCCTGTCATTAAGTGGGTCACCACATGTCCACGTCCAATTTTAGAACTTTTTTTTTGCAGTAGTTGTTAGATGAATCACCACGGTTATTAATTAAGCAGTGTAGTCATTAAGTGAATCCGGGTTTTTTTGCCGGAAACGGACGTTTTTCCTGGCCAAAAAATTATCATAGATTGTAGTCACACGACATGGGGATGCTGCAAAGGGCCAAAACTGTGGTCTGTTTGCCGAGCACCTAAAATACAGCAGGGTCCAGCCATCGAAGCATCAAGTGTGGGTTGTAAGTAGCCCTGCGCAGTCTGTCATAACTTCAAATGATCGCTAAGAGACCGGTTGTAAGTCGAGGACTACCCATATTTTGTTGGATTTTTACCTCATGTTTCATAAAGTTGCTTAGGGTGGTGTGTACATAGTTCCACCTTCTATTTTTCCTCACAATAATCCTGTGAGGTACTTGGGTGGTGAAACAAAGACCGGCCCAAAGTCACCCAGTGAGCTTCCATGGCTAAGGAACCCTGCCCTGGTGCCAGTCCAGCACCTTCACCTCTCCAGTATATAGCCACTCCGGCTCTCATCCTTGATTTTGAAGGTTATGGGGCTCCTACTTCAGCTCCAAGGGCATGTCGCTGAGTCCAGATAGTCCTCCACTTACAACAGGTTCATTTAGTGACCATTCAAAGTTACAACAGCACTGAAGAAACTGACTTATGACCATTCTTCACACTTAATGACCATAGCAACATCGCCAGGGTCACACGATCAAAATTCAGGCGCTTAGCAACCGACTCATATTTACGACGGTTGCAGCGTCCCGGGGTCACGCGATCACCCTTTTGCCCTTTTCTGACAAGCAAAGTTAGCGGGGAAGCCAGATTCACTTAACAGCTGTGTTACTAACTGAACAGCTGCAGTGATTCACTTAACAACCGTAGCAAGGAAGATCATAAACTGGGGGGAAACTTACTAAACAACAGTCTTGCTATTAGCAAAGGAAATTTGGGGCTCAGTTGTCATAAGTCAAGAACTGCCTGTAATAAGGTACAAGGACCCCTAGCTTGGACTAGAACAGGGGTAGGCAACATTGCCTCTTTTGTGACTCGTGGACTTCAACTCCCGGAATTCCTGAGCCAACCATGCTGAGGGGAAAGGGAAAGATTTCCAAGCTGAGCCATGCTGGCTCAGGAATTCTGGGAGTTGAAGTCCACGAGTCATAAAAGAGCCAAGGTTGCCTACCCCTGGACTAGAAGATCTGCAAAGTTCCTTCCAGCCCTGTGAATCTATGATTTTAATCCACCCTGTCTTAAAAGGTCTGGTCTAAGGCAGCTTCCTCATATCCGTGCCCCAGAAATAAACACAGCTTTTTTTCCCAACCAGGGGGGTGACAGCTGTGGATGGAGCCGGGTTTGGAATCGACCGTCCTGCTGATTTGAGCAAGGATGATGATGAGTATGAGGCCTTTCGGAAGAGGATGATGTTGGCCTACAGATTCCGGCCCAACCCACTGGTGAGAAGCCCCACCCCCTTGTGGCCCTTTTCCCCATATCAGAAATGCAATTGATTTATATCTGAAGTGGGATAAATTTGAGCAGCCTTTTTTAGCACTAACAATAGCGCTTAGACTTATATGGTGCTCGATCGTGCTTTACAGCCCTCTCTGGGTAGTTTATAATGTCAGCATATTCCCCCCCCCCCCCCCAACAATCTGGGTTCTCATTTTACCGACTTCTAATGGATGGAAGGCTGAATCAACTTCGGGCCGGTCAGAATGGAACTCCAGACTGCGGGCAGAGTTTGCCTGCAATGCTGCATTCTAACCATTGCACCACCAGAGCAGGCAAAGGGGCAGGCATGTACTTTTAATTTCTTGACACACACTGAAAATGCCAGGACCGTCTTATTTTCATTGGAATTTCCTGGTCTGAGTTGCCTTGACTACAAAAAAAAAATTATTGAAGGGCTGCTTGTTTCACTGTAACTGATTGACTATATCAGTGATGGCGAACCTTTTAGAGACCAAGTGCCCAAATTGCAACCCCAAACCCACTTATGTATCGTCGGGTGCCGGGTGGGCGTGGCCCATTGGGTGGGCGTGGCACATTGGGTTGGAGTGGCCCATTGGGTGGGCATGGCTGTGGTGGTAACGGCAGACTGGGTGGGACTAAAAAGTTCAATCAATTCCAACTTTGCAAGATCTTTTTTTTTTCCCGCGAGAAGTTGAAATTGATTGACTGATTGATTGAACCTTCTTTTTTTGTTGCACATGGCGGCAGAGGCCTAAAGCGAAAAGGTTTTATAAAACCCAGCTGAAGGCCTAGGACTGGGGTGACGACGCGCGTGCCCACAGAGAGGGCTCTGCGTGCCACCTGTGACATGCGTGCCATAGGTTCGCCACCACGGGACTATATTCTGTTTTTGCTTCAAAACACTTTGCAGCACTTTATCATAAGGAACATTTTACAATACACAAGGACAAGGTTAATCACTTAAAATGCTGTATCCATTTACTCTGCACAAGGAATTCGTGTAAGAATGTTTAGGAAGGGGATCCAGCTGGTGCAGGGGTAGGCAGGGATAGGCAACCTTGGCTCTTTTATGACTCGTGGACTTCAACTCCCAGAATTCCTGAGTCAGCATAGCATAGCTGACTCAGGAATTCTGGGAGTTGAAGTCCACGAGTCATAAAAGAGCCAAGGTTGCCTACCCCTGAGCTAGTGGATCTATACTGATCTGTTGCAGAGAAGAGGGCTTCCCCTTATGGTGCCAGCCAGCTGGCCCAAGTTTTTTTTTCCCCCAGAGACTCCATTCTGTTCTCACACAATGCATTGCTAGCCTATTTAAATCTCGTTCAAGAAATCCTTCAGACCCAAACCTTCAAAACTACATGCAGACATTTTCTCTCTTTATAGCTCAGCCTCTATTTAATCTTGCATACATAACACAACGTTAAGTCCCTGTTAACGATGCGGATGGTAAAAATAGCAGTTGAGAAAAGTATTGCAGAACATGCAAACCACAGTTATAAATGTAACGCCTAAAAGTAGCAGGTTTGCGCACTGGCAGCTGCTGCTGCTCTTCATTCTTGGGATGAACCTTGACTCCAGGTTCTCCCCGACTTAACCATTCGTTTAACAACCGAAGTTGCAACGACACTGAAAAAAGTGTGGCCGCTTTTCACATGACTATTGTAGCATCGTCACGGTCGTAGGATCAAAATTCAGACGCTTGGCAACTGGCGTGTACTTAGAACGGTTTGCAGCGTCTCAGGGGTCGTGTGTGATCACATTTGTGATCTTCTGACAAAGTCAACGGGGAAGCCAGATTCACTTAACAATCGCATTACTGACTTAATGAAGTGATTCACTCGACAGTTCTGGCAAGACAGGTTGTAAAATGGAGCAGAACTCACTTAACAACTGTCTTGCTTAGCAACATAAATGTTGGGCTCAACTGTAGTTGTAAGTCGAGACTACTTGTGCAGATAGCCCTCAGCATATTGACAACTGGAGCAGAATTTCCATTACTAAGCAAGATGGTTGTTAATTGAGTTGTGCAACAATGTTACGATCTTTTTTGCTGCCATTGCTAAGTGAATGACTGCAGTTATTAAGCGAATCACACGGTCATTAAGCAAGCCCATGTTTCCCCATTGATTGCTCGTCAGAAGCCCGCTGGGGAGGTCGCAGAAGGTGATCCCATAACCCTGGGACGCTGCAGCTCACATAAATATACGCTGGTTGCGTATGAACGTTGATCATGTGACTCTGGGGAATGCTGCGATGATCGTAAGCGCAAGGACTGGTCATAAGTCACTTTTTCCAGCTCTGTTGTAACTTCGGTCATTAAACGAACGGTTGTAAGTCAAGGACTTGCAAGCATGTTGCTTGTTCTATTACCTCTTCTTCCCAGTGGGAATTCAAGTAGATGAGACACACTGCCCTATCCAACATCAAGAAGGTGGCCCTTCTTTCTCAGATGAAATTCCACACCTTGTGCGCTCAGTCTAGCCTAGAGGAAAATTAGATAGGTTGGGATACTCCTTGGACTTTGGGTCCCTTTTTCAGGGACCGGGTGATGGGAGGAATGCCAGCAGAATTTAAGATAGAGTCCGGATTCCCTCCTGGATTGATTTTACGTTAGTTTGGCCACCAAGTGGGTGATTTGCAGCATCGCTGACTCCGCAAGCAACTGCACTTGTGGAAGGTACCATGCAGTTTTGCAATTGAGAAGGCCTGTTTACTCGGGGGAAGTGGGTGGACCAGGTTCCCTTGGAGGTAGAACGTCGGCCTACTCTGGTTTTGCTTCTCACTTGAGTTCAAACTTAGGATGGCCGTATTCACACATGGCACTAGGGCAGGGGTAGGCAACCTGGGCTCTTTTATGACTCGTGGACTTCAACTCCCAGAATTCCTTAGCCAGCATAGCTCAGCTTGGAAACCTCTTCATTTCTCCTCAGCATGGCTGGCTCAGGAATTCTGGGAGTTGAAGTCCACGAGTCATAAAAGAGCCAAGGTTGCCTACCCCTGGTCTAGGATGTAGGTTGTTTCATCATGTGACGTCAAACAATGTGATGATCACTTCAGGGGAAGGCATTTGTGTTTGAGCCTCAGACTCTGCTGGCCTTCTGTTACCAGGATGACTTGTTTTTCTCCTTTTCTCTTCCAGAACAACCCTCGCCGTCCTTATTATTGATGCAGCCTGTGTGTTTTCTTCTCACCTCCCACCCACTCCCTGTTCCTCCAGTGACGGATTGTTTACTGTGATAAGTTTATTTAAAAAAAAAAAAGCCCCTGTCTTTCGTTTAGAAGGACTCTGTTTCAGCTTTAGCCTCCCATCTGTTTACCCACTCGCAGATGTTGGACGTTTTTCAGTGTGGTTGCAGAGCTCACCCCCTCTTTTATTATGGGTTTTTTTAAAAATGTGATCCCATTAAAGAAAATGAAGAAGCAAGTCAGAACTGAGATGGTCAGCAAATGCTCCCAAGTCATACATAGCCCAACCATTTGTGAGAAGGGGAAAATTGGCGTAAAAATGTTCGTTAAATGGTGCGTAATCTTCATTTTATTGAGTTTCGTGAGGGGTTGTTTTTTTTTTAAGCCCTCTCTCCGTGAACATAGAAAGTCTGGATTGCTGTTCCCTGTTGATGGTGGGGCTTGCAGGGGAGGGTAACAGGATGGGATATAGCAGGTGAGCAGAAGCATAGGCAGAAATAAGGAAGGTAGAGCTCCCCAAACATAGTGTGGGGGGAGGGATCCCAGCTGCAGTTCAAAAGAGCAAGATTTGAATTACAGCAACGTAGAAAAGGGGGGACAGATGGGGGGGGACAAACCACCCCAGAATACTGGGTCTCCTTGAGGGCATCACTTTTATCCCAGTTCTGAGAGAATCTTGTGAAAACGTGCATAGCCAGCGTGTACCGGCCAACCTTCGGTTTTAAAGGACAATCAGCTCTCCTTTTTTCTCACTCTTTAGTTACTTCAAAGAACGTGGAAGTTTGAGTTGCTTCTTAGACCAGGTCAGAGGCCAAAACCAAAACATATCTTTAGCGGGGTTTTCATTAGTCGATTCTAATAATCTTTCAGGTTTGTCCCAGAGGAGAAAGGTTAAGAGAAGGGGAAAACCCAAAATCTTTTTTTCTCGACACAAATACATGCCTTGTCCACCAAGGCAACCCTCCCTCTCTCTTCCACGACCTTCCAACATCAGAACGACGGTGGTTCCTTCAGATAGGCTCTGAAACCATGCTTATTTTCGTTTTCGTTCAATCTTAATGATGTAGAGTTGATACGTTGGGCTTTTGCCAAACATGTTAATAAAGCTAGAGAAATGTGAAGAAGGTCAGGGGTTTTTTTTCTTTTGAATGTCCTGACAGTGAGCTGTTTTTCAAAACTCCAAGCATGATTGATGGGTGTATACATGGCTCTCGATAGACAAGGAATGGGAGGGGGCGTCATTCTCTGCGTGTTTGGAAAATATTGACTTTCTTACCTGCCGAGATTGGGAGGGGATGCACACAAGAAAACCTTGGTGCCAGATCCTAGACATACTTCCAAGTATGCCACAGTGCAAGTACAAATAGTCCTCGACTTACGACCAGAATTTCCATTGCTAAGCAAGGCAGCCGTTGAGTGAGTCATGCCCAATTTCACGACTTTTTTTGTCACGGTTGCTAAGTGTAGAACTGCAGTTGCTAAGGGAATCTCATGGTTGTTAGGTGAATCTGGCGTCCCCTGTTGACTTGGCTTGTCAAAAGGTGGCTGGGAAAGTCGCAAATGGTGATCACATGACCCCGGGATGCTGCACCCGTCATAAATGCCTGTTGGTTGCCAAGCGTCCAGATTTTAATCACGTCACTGTGATGGCCATACATGTGAGGCGTGGTCATAAGACACTTTTTTTTTCAGAGGCGTTTGTAAAGTTTAACAGTCATTAAATGAATGGTTGTAAGTCGAGGATGACCTGTACATTCTCATAGCTTTTGTCACTTGGGTGGGACAATAATTTCTTCTTGGTTGCTGAGAGGATCCAGCGTGAAAACGGGCCAACGGTGCGCCTCACAGCACAAAAATGGGATGCTGCCGCGCTTCGGTGCGTGAAAAGGGTCCGACGCCACGCCTCAGGGCACAGAAAGAGGGCACTGTGTACAAGAACAGGGCAGGGCTAGCGAGTATCATGCAAGCGCTAGCCCTGCCCCATTTGCGTCACGCACATGCTCGCGGCCCTGGTAGAGGTGGTACATGACCACTAAGCAAGATCATAAGGACATCAGCATTATCCTGCTGGTGTCATCCGTCTCCCTATCCGTTACTTGTTCATCTTTCAATGCTGCACATTGGAGGTTATCTTCAGTTGTTTGTGCATTTATTAAACAAATTTATATGGTGCCTAGGTCAGAATGACTTCAGGCCGCTTGCAACTTTTAAATTTCAAGATGTAAAAACCCATAAACCCCTCCCCCCCCTTGTTACCCTTACTCCCTCCTCAAGAAAATAATTAACCTCTCTCTCAAAAAATCCATTGTTTTGTCTTTGATTACTTGATGTTCCACAATCCCGTTATCAAAATGCGCCTATACAGATACAAGCATCCTTCGGGGGTTCAAATTATATTATTTTTCTCTCCTTGAGACTGCCGTTCTTTATAGAAATTATCCATAATCCTCAAGGGGAATTTAAGCTATTCTGCTCTTGACAAACGTCCCAATTGCTAACAAGAACAAAATTCTCTACGCTTGCAAGATGAAGATTTTTTTTTACAAAAAATAACGATTACATTCATAATAATTCTTTAGATGTGGGGAAAACCAGCTTCATATAAGCACATGAGAATCCCACTGGATTTAATTTTCATCTCTTCTCATTTTTGGCAGCAGTTTTCACGTTTTCTGGGGCAGGAAAAAGCAAGACCATTGTATTTATGCTTTATATTTATTGGTGTAGAAAATACTAAGCAGGACCAATGGTTGGTCTGAAAGCAGCTTTCTATACAGGCAGTTCTTGACTTAACAACATTTACTTAGTGACCATTTGAAGTTACAACGGCATTAAAAAAAGTGACTTACGACAGTTTTTCACATGACCATTGCAGCATCCCCAATGGTCACATGATCAAAATTCAAACGCTTGGCAATTGACTCACACTTATGGCAGTTGCACTAGGGTCACGTGATTCCCTTTTGCGATCTTCTGACTAACAAACCTAGAACTAAGAAATTTCCTGACAGAACAATTAACCAGTGGAACAACCTGCCTCCAGAAGCAGTGAATGCTCCAACACTGGAAGTTTTTAAGAAGAGACTGGACAGCCATTTGTCTGAAATAGTATAGGGTTTCCAGCCTCAGCAGGGGGTTGGACTAGATGACCTCCAAAGTCCCTTCCAATTATTATTATTATTATTATTGTCAATCAAGGAAACCAAACTCACTTAACAATCACGTTACTAACTTAACAACTGCAATGATTCACCTAACTGGCAGGAAAGTTTGTAAAGTGGGGACAAAACTCACTTAACAAATGTCTCACTTAACAATGTAAATTTTGAGCTCAATTGTGGTTGTAAGTGGAGGACTGCCTGTATTAAATATATCTTGCACTAGGACAGCAGTCTGTCTTTTAAGACCACTCCCCTGCTCCTAAATGGAGGCAAAACCCCCACTGAACAAGGCCCCTTTGCAAAACTATTTCATGGATCATTTAATTAATCACATTTTGCTAATTTATAGAAGCTCGGTTGTGGATCCCTATTGCTCACCAGGTTCATGGATCAAGCTTCCTTGGTGGCAATCACCAATTTGTGGAAGGGCCTTCAGGTATTTTAAAAAATACTGACCAAAGCAGCAATTGTTCTATCAGGTACTTAGTCCTCCAATGAAATAAATGGCATCTTTGATGTACCAGGATATTTAATTATTAGAGTTATAGTCTATCTTTGGGGAAGTTTTTCTCCACAACAACAGTCCTGCGAAGTAGGTCAGGCTGAGGGGGCAAGACTGGCTAGAAGACAACCAATAAGCTTCCTAGGAGACTGGAACCTGGATCTCCCCACTCCTAGTCCGGCCACTTCCCCACTACCTCTGATTGGCTCTTACACTGGGAGGGAGGGACTAGCCCAAATTCAGCCAATTAGCTTCTATAGCTGAGGGACTAAAATCTGGGTCGCCCCACTCATAATTCAACATCTCCACTACTGTACCAATCTGCATGTCAGTGAAACATTTTTACGGGTTTCTATTATGTACTAGCTGTACCCGGCCACGCGTTGCTGTGGCTCAGTCTGGTTAAATGGAAAAGAAAGAAAAGAGAAAGCGCACGTTTCTAATATGTTTAATTTCACAATGCTTGGGGGTATACAATATTTTTTGTTGTTCCATTGTCTGTGCAGATCTAGAGATTGTCTGGTTTGCCGACTCTAGAACACGCAACATATAATTGTCCATGTGAGAAGCAATCCGTGTCTAGATCTAAACTGCACAATTCTAAAGATTGGCCCTGAGCTTCGTTGATGGTGATTGCAAACGCCAATCGAATTGAGAATTGCAATCTCTTAAATTGAAATGGCATATCCATTGGAATCATAGGAATGCAAGGAATGAGGACATCTTCACCTTTGAAAGGTTCTGTCAAGATTGTTGCTTCTACCACTTTGCTCATTAATTTTTTTACTGCAAGCCGCGCTTTTTTTAAAAAAAGCATGTTTTACCTGTCACAGGTGTGACATCTATATAATAGTAGGTATATAAAAACATGCGCGTATTCGAATGCAACGTTGTGTCAAAATTTCAAAGCAATCGGTGAAGAACTTTCGGAGATTTAAAATTTTGAACAAACGAACATTTACATTTTTATTTATATAGAATATCTGTTTTTAATGAATTTTGCGAGGGAATTTGCTCAGAGTCCATCAAGTCTGGGGCAGCCTATAAATCAGGGGTCTTTAAACTTGACAACTTTTAAGACTTGTGGACTTCAGCTCCATATGTCTTAAAGTTGCCAAGTTTGAAGATCCCCGCTATAAATACAGTAAAATCAACAAATAAAACAAATGAAGCACTTGCTTGTATATAACCTGCTGAGATGCCTGCCCCATTCCTGGGTGGGGAGAACCTGCGACTCAACCCTACCTAGCAAGATGGTTGTGAGTTTGGGGCACCTGGAGTCCCAACACCTGGAGTTGTTATGATGCTGGCTGAGGGAATTCTAGGAGTTGACATCCACATGTCTTAAATTTTAAAAACACCGCATTAAGATCTTTAAAGACAAAAAGAGCACCATGAATTGTTCCTGGAAAAAGGATTATACCTTTCTGAACTCAGAGTGGCCCAGATAAAGTAAATACTTAAGGTTCTACATTTAGGCAAGAAAAAACAAATGTACAAGTATAGTATAGGGGGTACCTTGCTCAATAGTAGTAACTGTGAGAGGGACCTCGGAGTCCTAGTGGACAATCACCTAACTATGAGCCAGCAGTGTGCTGCAGCTGCCAAAAAGGCCAACACAGTGCTAGGCCGCATTAACAGAGGGATAGAATCAAGATCACGTGAAGTGTTAATACCACTTTACAATGCCTTGGTAAGGCCACACTTGGAATACTGCATCCAGTTTTGGTCACCACGATGTAAAAAAGATGATTAGGGGACTGGAGGCTAAAACATATAAGGAACGGTTGCTGGAATTGGGTATGTCTAGTTTAACGAAGAGAAGAACGGGGGGGGAGGGGGGGACATGATAGCAGTGTTCCACTATCTCAGGGGCTGCCACAAAGAAGAGGGAGTCAGGCTATTCTCCAAAGCGCCTGAAGGCAGGACAAGAAGCAATGGGTGGAAACTAACCAAAGAGAGAAGCAACCTAGAACTAAGGAGAAACTTCCTGACAGTTAAAACAATTAACCAATGGAACAACCTGCCTCCAGAAGCGGTAAGTGCTCCAACACTGGAAGTTTTTAAGAAGAAACTGGACAGCCATTTGTCCGAAATGGTATAGGGTTGCCTGCCTGAGCAGGGGGTTGGACTAGATGACCTCCAAGGTCCCTTCCAACTTTATTATTATTATTACTTGCAACCATTTTTTTAGAGATCAACTGAAATTAGAACAGCACTGAAAGTAATGATTTATAACTGGTCCTCGCATTTACAACCATTGCAGCATCCCCATGGTCACATGATAAAAATCCAAGCACTTGGCAACCAGCATGTATTATAGATTCCAGAGTCCTGGGGTCCTGTGATCACCATTTGTGACCTTCCCAGCTGGCTTCTGACAAGCAAAGTCAATGCGGGCGGTCAGATTTGTTTAATGACTGCGTGATTCACTTAACAGAATTACGTTTAAACACTGTGGCAAAAAAAGTCATAAAATCAGGTGCACCTTGCTTAGCAATGGAAATTGTCCCAATTGTGGTCGTAAGTCGAGGACTATTTGGAAACATAAGTCAAAAAGAGTTTATTTTATTTTAATTCCATGCACTGGATTTGAAAGTCTGCCCAATTCAAAATGACTCTGCTCATCATCATACAACATAAAAAGAATTAACAAAACAGATGATGAGGAAAATCAGCATTACTGATTTGGGATGAGAGAACAGATGCAAGGCCTTAAAATGTATTCTGTAAAACACTGGCTCTTAAATTGTGGGGGCCAATTATGCCTTTTCCTCAAATAATATTATTACGCCCATTTTTTTTAAAAAAGACTAGTTTTACGCAAGAGTCTTAGCCACAGCAATCCCAACTCGCAAATAAGCAATTACAAATTGCTCCATTAACCCCAGAATGTGCCCAAATTTCTCCCTTGGAGAAAATTCCCCCCAGTTTAAGAATCGCTGTTCTAAATTCAGAGTCAAAAAAGCATTATAGGATAATCTAAAGCTAATCAGCTTATAACCATGCAGGTTTTCCTTTTTAAAAAAACTGATTTGCAACCCATCCTGTCTTCTGGTTCTTTTTCTTTTTTCTTTTGCAATGCCTTTAAAAGCAATCTGCCAACACAACAAAGCTGAAACAGGGGAAGCTTGTACTGGAAATGATGGATTAATAGGCAAAGCTCTGCCAGCTCCCCCTTTTCAGTAAAGCATTTTTAACACTGGCCTGATTTACAGCTGCAACCCTATCAACAATCCCTGCCAGGAAGCAGAGCAGCAGAGCAAATATATACCCGGTGATGACCCTGAAAAAGATGACAGGCTGTTCCTAAATATGGGTCTTCTATCAGAGATGCTGTAGCAAATCCAGCAGTGACCAGGGGGGTTGGACTGGATGACCTCTAGGGTTGTCTTGCCACTAAGGCTCTATGCCTCATTCTTAACCCCGGCTTGCAAGCCTGACTTGCTTGAATTCGAAACGTCTCAATGGCAGACGGACGTTTTTGACCACGTGAAGCCGCACAGGCATGTTTGTTTTGGACTTTGCAGCTAATTACGCAAAGGTCTGGGGAGTGGGAAGGCCCGCTGCTAGGGCCGTGTTATGCCAGCCAGAGGTTGAGCCACACTTGGCAAAGCGCGTTTCTGCTGGTAATTGACCCTAATTGACAGAGAAGAGCAACAAAGATGATTAGGGGACTGGAGGCTAAAACATATAAGGAACGGTTGCTGGAATTGGGTATGTCTAGTTTAACAAAGAGAAGGACGAGGGGGGACAGGATAGCAGTCTTCCAAGATCTCAGGGGCTGCCACAAAGAAGAGGGAGTCAAGCTATTTTCCAAAGCGCCTGAAGGCAGGACAAGGAGCAACGGATGGAAACTAACCAAAGAGAGAAGCAACCTAGAACTAAGGAGAAACTTCCTGACAGTTAGAACAATTAAGTGGAACAACCTGCCTCCAGAAGCGGTGAATGCTCCAACCCTGGAAGTTTTTAAGAAGAGACTGGACAGCCATTTGTCCAAAATGGTATAGGGTTTCCTGCCTGAGCAGGGGGTTGGACTAGATGACCTCCAAGGTCCCTTCCAACTTTATTATTATTATTATTATTATTATTATTATTATTATTATTATTATTATTATTATTGGCAAGGCGTCATCTGGAGCGTCTCCTGCTGCTGGAACCGGAGTCAACCCCGGGAGAACGCGCGAAATCCCCCCTCTTTTTTTTTAAAAAAAAGAGTTCCCTGCGCTTTCCAAGCCGATTTTCAGGAAGGCCAAATCCACGATGGTCAACGGGATGCTGGGGTGCGATGGGGGCGGAAGAAGCAACAAAGGTGCGCCTTGCCCTTTTAAGAGGTGCGCCGCTCTCCTCGCGCCTTTCCCGGGATCGCTTGAGCAAGAAAGCTGCCAACAGTCACGACCTTTGGATAGAAAAAAAAAATCCTCTCCCTCTTTTTTTTTTTTCCTTTCTTTTTGGGCGAGAGGAACGCATGAGCGGCGGGGAGCTTTGTGTTACTACCGGGAACCCGTCGCTTGGCCGATTGCCCCTTTCCTGCTGGAGCGATCGCCCCCCCTGGTCGCCCATTCCCACGACCCTCTTCTTCCAGGTTTGCTTTCCGTGCCGCTGAACATGCGGCTGCATCCACTCTGGGCCGCCGTCGGCCTGTTCCTTTCCGCCTTCCCGTTATTCTACCTCTTGAACACCGTAGCCGCCTTGCAGAGGTACGTACCGTGTGAACGAGGCAAGAAGAACACGGATTTGACCCGGGATTTTTTTTTTCCCCCTCCCCTGACCCACGACTTCTGGGGATCAGAAAGAAGGGCTTTAAAAGTTTGACACATCTGGGTGACTGTCACCAGTTGAGTTGTGGGAAGGGAACACAGGATAAAGAGCAAGAGAGAATTTGCAAAGGTGGAAAACCATCAGGGGCCATCGGTGCCCTCGATAGTGCCCTGTCATGGCCATGTTAGAGTCAGGTTGTTGGCAAAGGCACACCCTCCCTGTAGGGGTGGACTGTTTTCTAAATAAGCCTGGAAAAAAACTCCTGACTTTTGATCATTTTAGTAGCTTTCGACAGCTTTAATTCCAATTTTATCCTGATTTAAAGCTGCTGTTTTGTTTTAGTGTATTTCTGTGCTTTAAAATGTAATGTAGAGTGTTTAAAGGCAAGGAGTTTAATAGTCTGTGTGTGTGTGTTAAATGAGATAGTTTAAAATTGAATGCCATTAGGGAAAGATGTTTTGCATAAGAATAGTAACAAACAACAATCATAATAATAGGGCCCTGCTTGACATAGCTACAATTTTGACTGCCCATTTTGTCCCAGTGCCTTCGCTTCTTCTGGTATAAGTGATCCTGATGATCCTATTTAAAACCACCGGGGAGGGGGAACCCCTAAATTTTGAATTTTCGGTAGGCTGAGACTCCTTTAAAATCCCCAGATTTGTGTCTCCCCCAATCTGATAATGTTCTCCAACTGCATCTGCCTCTCCCTTGCTGTAACTCACAAACTGCCCATCAAAAAGTCACAGCGCAAACAGAAAAGCTTTGGGTCAGGAAGAGGAGAGACTTATTTGTTTCTTGAAAATTATGGTAGTTATTAAAATGAGAAGCAGGGAACTATTCAATGAGAAGAAGACAAATGAGATTGGGTTTTTTTTTATCAGTCAGTGGATGAGGTGGCCTGGTTTACAGGACCGGCCCTCATTTTCTGCTGCAATCCCAATTTAGAGCAAGAGTCCAAGTCCAGAAATTATTATTATTTATTTAGTGTATGATGAGAACACAACAGAAAATAAATAAATATATACAGGTTGTCCTCGACTTAACAGTTCATTTAGTGACCGTTTGAAGTTGCAACGTCACTGAAAAAAGTGACACGATCATTTTTCACACTTACGACCATTGCAGCATCCCCAACGGTCAGGGTCTCGGCAACTGATTCATACTTACGACGGTTGCCCTGTCCTGGGATCCCCTTTGACGACCTTCTGACTAGCAAAGTCACTGGGGAAGCCAGATTCACTTAACAACCGTGTTACTAATTTAACAAGTGCAGCGATTCGCTTAACAGCTGTGGCAAGAAAGGTCGTAAAAGGGGGCAAAACCCACTTAACAAATGTCTGACTTAGCAATGGAAATGTTGGGCTCAATTGTGGTCATAAGTTGAGGACTACCAGTATACACGGTCCACGTAATTACAAATAAAACTTCGGGGTGTGTGTGTATGGCAGTGGCCTCATAATTGGATGTCCAATTCAGCTATCCAGGCGATTGTCTCTGGCGTTGCTTCGTGCAGATCTTCTAAGGAACCAGAGAACACACATCCTGGGCAATCTTGCCCAATATGTTTAATAGTTTAGCATATCAGCATCACAGTCGCAACAAGGTGAAACTTTCCATCCCCACTGATGCAGGGCAGAGGCCCTTCCCCCAGTATCACACCTGTAGTTGTTAGTTATGAAGTCGCGTCCGACCCATCGCGACTCCCTGGACAACGTTCCTCCAGGCCTTCCTGTCCTCCACCATCTTCTGGAGTCCATTGAAGCTCACGCCTACTGCTTCAGTGACTCCATCCAGCCACCTCATTCTCTGTCGTCCCCTTCTTCTCTTGCCCTCCATCTTTCCCAGCATTAGGCTCTTCTCCAGTGAGTCCTTTCTTCTCATTAGGTGGCCAAAGTATTTGATGTATCATACCTGTGTTCAATTTTGGCCAGACAGAGGGAGGCAGGTCAAAACCAGGTGGTTTGGTAGAGGGATCACGAATGGTCAGGTCACAAGAAGGTACCTTGGACTGCTCCTCTTTACAGGCCCTCTCCGGGTTAAACTGGACAGATGTTAAGTGAATAACTGTTTTCTATGGGATTTCGGTCTTATGATGGGCTACGCATTGCCCTGGTGAATAGGGAGGGCCTTGTGGTTCAGCATCCTTGACCATAGAGCAAGAGTCCAGTTCAAATCCAGGGATCAACTCCCAGGAACACCCAGGATTCAATGACAGGGTTTGAATTGAAAGTTGAGCAATATGTAGTTATTAATGAAATGCCACTGTAGACGAGGATGATCCATTTGATCTTTAGTTTCACTGCTTCTTTCCAAGCAGGCTTGCCAGGGCTCCTAGCCTCTTCTTCCTTGGCAGGAAATAGGAAAATCGTTAATGATTGTGCCTAAAAATATATTCCGGGGTTTGCCAGCCAATCTATGCTGTGGCAATTTGCCCATTGGTGGTGTAGAGCAATTCCAAAGGAATGCAGGGCAGTGATAGCTCCAATTTTATATTATTATCTAGCGCCGTGGTGGCGAACCTATGGCACAGGTGCCACAGGTGGCACGCAAAGCCCTTTCTGTGGGCACGCGCGCCGTCGCCCCAGTCCTAGGCCTTCAGCTGGGTTTTATAAAACCTTTTTGCTTTAGGCCTCTGCCGCCGTGTGCAAAAAAAAAAAAAGATTCAATCAATCAATCAATCAATTTCAACTTCTGTTGAGAAAAAAAAAGATCTTGCAAAGTTGGAATTGATTGATTGAACTTTTTAGTCCCACCCAGTCTGCCGTTACCACTGAAGCCACGACCACCCAATCAGCCACACCCACCTAATGGGCCACGCCCACCCAGCACCCCATGATACATACGTGGGTTTTGGGTTGCAGTTTGGGCACTCGGTCTCTAAAAGGTTCGCTGTCACTGATCTAGCGCTTGACACTGAGGGTATTTCTAAGGTTGAAAAGGCAGCGTGTCTCTTCCCAAAATGCTTTCATTTCTACCCACAGGATATGTTTGCGTGGCACCCAGGCTGGGGATACAAAAATAAAAAAAATAAAAAATACAGCCTAGGAATGACATCATACAACACAAATGCAACCCTTTCTTGCCCCCCTGGGCTGCCCCACAATAGGTGTGGCCAAAAGGTTGCTATGTTTATGAAGGTTTAATATTGGAGGCTTTCAGGAGCAAAATTAGGACCTAAAACTGCAAAATTAGTCACTCACTGCAATCTTTAAAACGAGTGTCAAACTCGCAACTTCATGTGACGTGTCGTGACGTAACGCGACTTTTTTTCCATTGCTGGCAATGGGGTGGGCGCGGTTTCGGCATGACGCATCCGGCCTGTGGACCGGCAGTTTGACACCCCCGCCTTAAAAGATATGATAACCTCCCCTTCTTTAAAACAAAAGAAAAGAAAAAAAGGAGCACTTTTGAAGTAGCCGTATAAAAATGCTACCCCTGTATTAAATCCTAATCTGGATGGGTGCCTGAGCTTGCATTAATGCACTGAATCGCAACCTTAGCAACTTGAAGATGTGTGGACTTCAACTCCCAGAATTCCCCAGCCAGCATGCTTAAAAAGCCACCATTAACAAATTTAATTCCACAGTTCTCTTCAATTTTCCCTCCCCTTGAATTCCCCTTGAATTTTTCCACAGAAGGAAACATTCTGGGAGGAGAGTTTTGGTAGTCCAGGGTAGCCCATAATCCAGCATTCCAAGTTTCTAGTCCACAAGCTCACTCAATCCATCAGCTCAGTGCTGATCAGCAAGGCTTTATTTTAGTTCCAGGGAGGAACACTATCCCTCCCCCTCTTCAAAGGAGGGGTCAGCTGCCAGCCCATTCCAGCTTCTGTACACAAACTGGGGAGGAAACGCCATCTTAAATTTTGTTTTGGGTAGCTAAATATTTGGGGCTGACACGAGCAGCCTGTGTGACCACGAGTTGCCAATTTTCGAACGACTGGCTTAACTCGGCTGGATATTGCATAGATGGGTTGGAGTGAACAACTCAGCCGCCCTTTGGACCCTGCCCTGTCTCTGACAGAACTTGCACGCTGACACAGCGTCCTGCAATTTTATAGAGACTGTTTTCTCCAGCCTGAGAATGGAGGTGCTGATGACCTGTACGGAGGTACAGGCCTAATGTTGTCCGTTTATATTACAGGTAATCCTCGACTTACAACCGTTTGTTTAGTGACCATTCAAAATTACAAAATTTGCAGTGAAAAAAGTGACTTATGACCATTTTGCATACTTACCACCATTGCAGCATTCGTATGGTTACAAAATTCGGATGCTTGGCAACTGGTTCGTATTTATGATGGTTGCAGTGTCCCCGTGGGTCTCCTTCTGCGACCTTTTGACAAGGAAATTCAATGGGGAAGCCAGATTCACTTTTCAACCATGTGGCTAACTTAACAGTTGTAATGATTCACTTAATAACTGGAGCAAAAAAAAAGTAGTAAAATGGGGCAAAACTCACTTAACAAATGTCTCACTTAGAAACATAAATTTTGGGCTCAATTGTGGTCGTAAGTCGAGGATTACCTATATTTTTATTTGTCCACACTGTGAAATATAAAAGAAAACCATCTACAGCAGGTATGTCCAACAGCATGCTAGTAATATGACCCCACAAAATAATAAAAAATAAAGGAAGTTTGATACACACACACACACATACATAAATACATACATACATACATACATACATATATATACACAAAATAACTATAGTATACATTTTATATGCGATCCAAGACAATTTCTCTTCGCTCATTGTGGTCCAGGCAAGCCAAAACGTTGGACAACCAAGATCAACAGATAGTCCTCATTTAGCGAACACAATTGAGACTGGTAACTTTGTTGTTAAGTGAAGCGGTCGCTAAGTGAAACCACACCTGTGTTTATTTATTTATTAAATTTCTACACAGCCCATCTCACCTAAGTCACTTTTG